TGATCAGCTGTGTGTGTTTTCTGCATCATGGTCTTGCCGGTAGTAGTTGCAGAAATACCTTCCCATTTGTCTGATTGTTGAGGGTGACGCTGTCTTGGTCACTGACTTGTCCAGTCTCAGCCTAGGCCAACTGGGTAATTAGGAACTCATGAGCATTTCTGTACGCTAATGAGATGGGCAGGAGGTAGAGCCATCAATGGTGCATAGGTCAGGAGGGGAATACATATGTTGGTGTCTTCACCACGCTGGTCTCCCAGCAGTTCTGGCAAAGGCTGCTCATGTCTATCTTTGTTTTGTTTTGTTAAATAGTTTTATTGGTACACTTTTGATATATATAATGATCACATTCATTGTAGGGAATTTTTACTTCTACATAATAGATTCTTCTTTTTTCTCCATTTCCATCCTTTAAACTCTTCCTCTGCTCCTTATTTACAAAAGTTTTCATTTCATTTTTTTCCTCCTATTCCCCACCTTGTTCTCCTTTGCATTTGAACATTTTCTTCCTACTTCCTGTCTATTATTCATTTTGGGTTTTATTTTGTTTCTTATACATAAGAAACAGTGTGTGTGGGGGGGGAAACAGTGTAATATTTAAACATGTGTGCTCAATTTATGTTACTTGAAAGTATGGTTTCAGGGTGCATCTATTTACCTAAAAAAAAATCTGAAGTTTATCTTTTGTGGCAGAGTAGTATCCCATTGTATATTTAAAAAAAAACAAACACATTTTCTTTATCCATTCATCTGATGGTGACACTTGGGTTTTTCTCAAGATTTAGCTGTTACAAATTGTGCTGCTATACACATGTGGGTGTGCATATATTGCTGTGGTATGATGCTTTTAACTTTTAGGAGAAAAATTTTTACTAGGTATTCCTCAGACAAAGGACTAATATCTAGAAAATATAAACAACTAAAAAACCAAAGCAAACTCTCTCAGTTTAAAGACCCAATCCAAAAGTGGGTCTTTTAAAGTGGGTTTTTTTCTGAAATGATAGACCCTTCTTAAATGAAGAAGTTCAAACAGCAAATAAATGTATGAAAAAACATTGAACATCACTAGTCATCTGAGAAATGCAAATTAAAACAATGCTGAGATTTCACCTCACCCCAGAAAGAATGGCTGTTATCAAGAAATCAACCCGTAACAAATGCTGGAGAGGCTGTGGGGAAAAGGAACCCTTCATTGTTGATGGGAGTGTAGACTGGTGCAGCCATTGTGGAAATCAGTATGGAGGTTCCTCAAAAAGCCAAAACTTAGTTTCCATTGACCCAACTGTCTTTACTTTGGTGTCTCAAAGCGTTGTTTTGACTGAGCAATAGTATTCAACTTATAATACATATGAGACAGGATGATAAAAGTCAGAAGTCACTTATTTCAGGTTCACAGTGTTCATTCATTCATTCATTGTGATATTGGGGATTGAACTCACGGCCTTCACACTGAGCTGTATCCTCAGGCTCTCTCTCTGCCCCCCGCCCCCCACCTTTTAATTTTGAGACAGAGTCTCATAATGTCACTAAGTTGCCCAGGATAGGATCAAAGTTGTTATCTTTTTTCCTCAGTTTGCAAAAGTGCTAGGATTACAAGGCTTTCAGATGGGACAGAACCAAGGAGAGGAAGTCCAGAGAGTGCCGTTCCCTGTGTGGATGCCATCTGTGACCTGCAGTAGCCCTATGGGCTGGGGGTTCTGACCCTAGCCTCCATGAAAGGTTTGCTATGTTTTTTTTAAAGAGGATAAAACCAAAAGAAATAAAATAGAATAGAGTCAATCAGAACAAAACAATGAACGTGATACTAGACTTTAAAACAAGATGAAAGGAAATCAATAATAGTTACCATAGTGCCACTTGTTATCTTCAGAATAACTTTCCATACCATCAGACATAATAAAATCAAACAAAACCCCACTGTTGTACTCCTGTTGTCCTGTTTTAAAGGTTTGCTATTTGTCAGGACAGGAAGACTGCAGAAAGGAAGGCCTGTGGCTTTCTCCAGCCAGCCAAGCCCTGTGGGTTGCATTTCTTAAGCTGAGGGATCAGTTTGCCTTTGGGTCTTTTTTTCAGTCGAGTTGCTGTCCCAACAGTTTTTCTAATAAATTGTCATTGGAAGTTTTAAGGAAAGGTAAGAATGAGTTCCATTGAGGCTTCCAAGGGGCAGGGTGGCCCATAGCCTGGGCAGTCTGTATGCTGCCACATTTGCCCTGGCCTGCAGTACCTTTTCTTACTGGCTCCTCAGCCTTTCTTCTCATCTGCCAAGTAGCTGTGCTTTTAGGATATTAGTAATGTGCTCTAAAAATCAAAGTGTTTAATGATTCTGCTTTTCTCTGCTTGTAGGTCTCTGCTTGGGGACTGTTGCTCAGTCCTGAGAGAGTGCACAGGGACAGGTCCCCTGAGGGTGGTGCAATGGAAAAACTCACAAGTGGCTCAGTGTAACTTCTCACAACAGTTTTAGATTCACAGCAGAGTGGCCCTGAGCACAGAGTGTTGCTGTGGACCCTTCCTCAGCTTTCTCTGATGTCAGCGTCTCATGTAACGTGGCACAGTGATCAAAACTGGCATCAGGTCAGCACCAGTGCCATACCACTAGCTAAACTCTGTTCACATTTCCCCACGCCCAGGCACTTTAGCTTTGTGTGTTTTTCAACATCAGGATGCCTGTGCAGTTGCCTACAAATCTTCCTTCAGAGTGCAGCACTGCTGGGGACCCCTGCAGTGAGTCCCCAATTTCCTGCAAGGTGTTATGGTACACAGCAAAAAGACAGAGCAGAAGACAAATAGCAATGCAACAGGAATCTGGAATGACCAGTTGTTCACGGCCCCTGGGGAGCCCTGGGGAGCCAGGATCTCAGTATTTATTGATCACATTTACATTGAGGAAAATGGCACAGGATTATTGGATGACTCAGGGTGGTGGTGATTTACCTAATGAGGATTTTATGCTGATGAGGACGATGGGCAGAGATGGCAGCTTAATAAGACGTATGAAGCTGGGCGTTGTAGCACACACCTGTAGTCCCAGCACTTGGGAGATGGAAGCAGGAGGATCACTGCACATCCAAGGTTACCCTGAACTATATAGTGAAACCCTGTGTCAAACACACACACACACACACACACACACACAGAGAAAGAAATGTGTCCTGTCTCCCAGTTGAAACCTTTTTTTATTTTAAGGAACCAGGATGTCTTCAGCTGATGTAATCTTGCCCGGGGGCATCACAGCATCACGGGACCCTTGAGGCCACAACTGTGACCTGCAGCACATGGAGTTAGTTTCTGCATTCCATAGCTGGCTCACATGGCAAGATACTATGCCTTGAACAAGTCCTAATCACCATTTAATTATGAAATGATTTTCCCCTCCTAATTATATAGAATGGCCGTCAGAGGGGTACTCTTTATTAAACACTGTGTGCAAAGAAACTCAGTAATAGACTTGACACCTGGGTGACAAGAAGGGTACAGAATATGCTGGTTCTCTGGCCTTACATTCCACAGGGCTGTTCTAAAAGGGCATTTACAGGACTCAGTCCTGCTTCCCAGAGCCCTCTCCAAAGGTGCTGTCAAAGCTTGGGCAATTTTGTTATCTCCTGACCTCATTTTTCCTGTTTATAAACCAAGAAGATTGAGGGTCCCTGAGGCCATTTCTAGCCCTCAGGGCCCAGATCCAAGTAAGAACAGGCCTCTTGTAAGACTAGCTTCTCTTCTCCTGCCAATTAGGGTCACTTGTGGACTGGGACCCCGGGGAAACTTTGGAGCCTTTACTGGGCCTGTCATTCAGTGAGCAGTGACACTGGTCCAAAAGCCTCCTGGGCAGTGTGTGCATCCACTGGTGGTCACACTGGCCCTTTGGTGTCAGCAAGGCCACGTCAGAGCCACAGTGGCTCCTGGACTTGGTCTTTGCCCTGAGACGGTCTTGGCACCTGGCTTCCTGCCAGGTCTTGAGCAGGCCTTTAAGGCAGTGTGTGCACAGATACAAGAGTCAACAGCCTTTCTCAGGCCATGCCTGTCTCTGTTGAAAGAGTCAAGGCCTTTCTGCTGCTCTCAGTCCTTGCCAGAAAAGTGTGGAACTGCCTGCCACTTGTGAACAGCAAAGCAGGGCCAGAGCCAGACCCAGTTCCTTAGCTTGGGGGCCATCTCTTTGGGTTTGGGGTAGAAGTTGGTCAGCCAAGCCCCCCCCTCCCCCCGCACCGCTTTCTATAAGTGAAGTTAACAGGAACACAGGCATGATCCTGCGTTTATACGAGGCCTTGGCCACTTTGGAAGGCAGAGCCAGGTGCCTGTAGTGCATAAGCCAAGATATCTTTTCGTCTGGTCCCTTACAAACTTGTTTGCTTACTCTTACGTAGGGCATTCTGAGAAGGAGGTGATTCCTGCTCCTTCCCCTACATTTTCTTCTGACAAGGTTTCTTAGGCTTTACCCTCTGAGTGGGCTTCCTTAGTGGCATAAGTCACAAACTGCTGCAGGCTATTGCCTATCAAAAGTAGTCTGGCAGTTAGACTGTTCTTCCCTCGGAGAGGCCCAGAGGGAGGGTCTCACATGAGGGACTCGGCTCCTGACGACTCCCGTTAGGCCATGTGCTTGTGTGTGTTGGGCTCTACCGTCATTGTACTGGGGCTGTACTTTGAGGTGGGAGGGTGTGTGTGTGTGTGTGACTAACTTCCCTGTGGTGTGGTGACACGTTTCCCATTGGGCATAGAAGCTACATATGTTTTCCTGCCATGAGGGGTGGGCTTGGCTTACCCAAGCAGGTCAGGGTGGAGGGGCCTTGACCCCAAAAGCACAGGAATGACTTGATTCCTAAATAAGTCACCGGGTCCTTGAGACTGTTTTGTCAGAGTAGGCTAGCTGGTTTTGAAGCCGGTCTGCTTCTGAGGGGAAGGCTTAGGTGGGAAGGCGGGGCCTGGGCAAGGGTTCTGGGGCCATGCAGATGTCCTCCGTGGGCCCCGTGCATCTCCCTGACAGTCCCTCACTGCTGCCTTTTACTCCCCAGGCTGGCACCTATGAGGCTCTACACACTCTCCAAGCGTCACTTCGTCCTTGTGTTTGTGGTCTTCTTCATCTGTTTTGGCCTGACCCTCATCGTTGGGATCACAGGTAGGTTCAGTTTTTAAGCATTTCATCATACGCAGCCCCCGTGATGCAGTGCTTCTCAGCTGGCCCAGTGAGCCTCCTTGTTTCCCCCAGAGTCCAGCGTAGAGGGAGATGAGCCCCTTCTCCCTGGGCCTCAGCGAGCAGGCTGAGTGTCCCTGGCCATGTCCCAGCCAACAACTAGAGCCCCCACCCCCAGGCAGCCTTGGCCACCTACCTTTTATTGGCCAAGTAAACATTCCTAGTCTGTTGTGCCCTGTGGAATCCAGAATCCGTCCCCTGATGGGTGGATAGGGCTTCATGCAGTGCATAAAGCCGGGGGTAATAGCTATGAGTGTGGGGGTGCAGGTGGAGCAAGAGGCCAGCAGGGTGTTATGGTAACCGGTGAGCTCTCTGCAGGGCCCAGGAAGATGGCTGGCAGCAGCATGGTGGCTCCACCCGGGAGCCTGTGGCTGTGCCTTTGCCCTTGCCTTTGGGGAGCCTTGCCAGCTGCATGGCACGTTGTCTGGAAGGAAGAGCTGTGCCGTGCTGATTTGGCCTGGAGAAGTGCCTTTGAAATGCTCTAGGTTGGCCACCACTTCCCCTCACACAGGAAACGCCACAGGTCCAAGTGACTTTCAGTGGTTTTTACAAGGTTCCCAGAAACCTGGTCTCAATCCTGTCCAGGGGGCAGGCAACAGAAACTTGATAACATGTTGGAGAATGGCTATTTCTCTTTCATTTCTTTCTCTTCTTTTCCTCTCTGCCCTTCTTCTGCCCTGTCTTCCCCTTCATATTGAGACTTGAACCCAGGGGCACTGTACTGAGTTGTATTCCTAGTCCTTTTTGTTTTGAGTCGGGGTCTTGCTAGGTTACCTAGGCTGATTTTGAACTTAGGATTCTCCTTCCTCAGCCTTCTGAGTAGTTGGAATTACAGGCCTGCGCTACACAACACCTGCCTTCTTTCTTTTCCTTGTAGGTAAAATACTTTTTTCATTGAGTGATTTCAGTAGCTGTTTATTTAATTGGTGCACTTAACACCAAAGTATGAATGACAGTGACACTTAACCTGTCTCACAAACATCTGTCCTTCAAAAGGCTAGTTTTTTACGTAAACTGAAATTGGGGTTGTGTGTGGACTGGGGGGGCTGAGGGGAAAGAGTGGCCATTTTGATCACCTACCTGATGGTGATGGTGATGAAGCTGAGATGGTGGTGGCGGCAGTAGTGACTGTAACCAACTTCTGGTCCTTCCTGTTAAGTCACCAATGAGGAAAGATGTATGATCACAGCACAGCATTATCTCAGATTGGTAGGTCAGGTCTCCAGTTTCAGGGGGACCTCAGCTTTTATATCCTTAAGCCACATTTTCTTAGACATCCCTGATTATGTCCAGTGTTCTCCACTCTGAAATGGAAAGTGATACATTAAGGCTGGTACAGGAAAATGATGTCAGGGTTTCCACATCCTTTTCCTTCATCTTACAGAGTACTGTGGATTCTTGGGGGAGTGGTCTGTTGTCTCTTGTCTGTTTCTGTCTCTGTCTCTCTGACTCTGACTGTGACTCAGTCTCTCTCTGTTGAAGGAATTGGCTCACACATTTCTGAAGTTGGTGAGTCCTGCAGTCAGAGTCAGCAAGCGGGCAAGCCCAGAGCGCAGATGGTACAGGTCAGCTGAGTTGAAGGCCTGAGAACCAGATGGCTGATGACATAAGTCCCAGTCAGATCTGAGTCAGAGGAGGCAGGAGAAGACTGAGGTTTAGCTCAAAGACAGGATCTGAATGGAGGGAGACAGTTCTTCCTTGGCTTTTTGTTGTACTCAAGTCTGTAGCAGATTTGACAGGGCCCACCCACACTGGGGAGGACAATTTGCTTATTCAGTTAGCTCATACAGAAATTCCTCACAGACAGAATGTTTAACTTAATATCTAGACCCCCTATAACCTAGTTATGTAGACTCAAAATGTTATCACAAGTACACTCTTCTTAATACTTTACATGGCAAGGTCATCATTACTTTAGTGAAGAGTACTTTAGGGACCATTGGGTTAGTCACTCTCATAAGTATAATGAGATGTAGAAAGCCTGGTTAGCTAAAATAGAGTCCAAGTTCTGATTGCCATTTCTTAGTTCTTACAGGAAGCCAGGCAGCCTTGTGTACTGGCCAGGAGTTTCTTCAGATTGAAAATGTGTTTTAAAAGCCTTGTTGTGGGTCCAGACCTCCTTCCTACATGGAGACATCCTCCTCACTGTTCATGGGCTCATTCCACAGACATGCCACCGGCTGCTTGGAGTTCACATCCTGTACCCCTTGGGTTCAGGTGGAAAATTGTTGGCTGCAGGCTGGGGTGGTCCCTGAGGCAGCCCTGAGAACTGGTATCACTATTTAAGAAAGATGCTTTAGAACAAATCCAATTACACATTAATGCTGAATTAACAGTGTTTTCCTTTAGCTACTTCTCCAGAAGCCAAAGCCCTAAGGGGTGATGGTGAGAATAATAATCTGTGAATCTGGAGAGGAAGTAGAGTCGGAAGGACTCTGTCTGCCCATCTAGACAACAGCAGAATCCGAATGTGTGTTTGGAACTGTTTTGGAACTCGAGTCTGTTGAAGCCGTATAACTTCCAAGCGAGGGTCTGGGTTTAAAGTTGTGATTAGGTTCAGTCAGTGCTGCTCTTAACGCGGCAGCAGGTGCCTGTGCCCCACCCAGCCCTATAGCAGGCGGCCGTGTGTGTGTTCTGAGCAACCTGCATACAACTTGTGGAAGTCAGAGAGGGCAGAGATGACCTGTCTTCTTACTCCTGGGGACCTGTGTTCTGATCACTGATTGCTGCTTCTGATCAGAGGTACAAAGTTGGGCGTCCGTCGTTTTCCCCACACTTCAATGTTACCAAACCTGCCCTCTGGCTGAAGTGACTTCTGGGAAATGTAAAGAGCTGGTGCTTCTCTCTCAGTCTCCTTCACTTATTCACCTCCCTCTCCACCCACATAGCCTAAGCCTTTTTGGGAGCCAAATGCTGGAAACTTGGAGGTTCGAAAGCAGCTGCACATGCAGGAGAACTTAGGACAGCACCACGTTTGTGCAAAGAAAGACACAGATTCAGGAAGGACCTGGCAAGATGTTAAATTTACACATCAGACTCCAGCAGCAATCAGCCCGCCAGCCAGCCAGAAAACCTAGGGAAAGAGGGGGAAAGTCTGATTTTTAGGAGCACCACATTATTTAGGTTTAAAGTGTCCAGTTTCTCAGCAACAGCAACAAGAAGTCACCTAATAAAACACTAGAATGAGTCCCTACAGTCACACGTCATATCTATTAGGCAAAGACTAAGACAACTGCTGAAAGAGCTAAAGGAAAATGTGGAGAAACTCATGAAATAGAAAAACCAGTAGTGAGTTCCAAAACCTTAAAAGAAACTGAAACAAAATTCTGGAGCTGAAAGGTTGTAATAGCCGATGTGAAAAATTCACTAGAGGAGTTCAAAGGCAGATTTCAGCAGGCAGAGGAAAGAATCAGCAAACCTGAGGATAGGACCATGGAACTTTTCTAGTTTAAGGAATGAAAAAAAAAAAAAAGATGGAATATAAGTGCAAAGAGTTTAAAGGGCCTTTCGGAGACCATCAGGTGGAGCAGCTTACATGTTGGTGGACTCTCAGGAAAAGAGAGAAGAAAGGGAAAAGAAAATATTTAAAGAAATGAAAGATGAAAATTCCCCAAATTTGATGAAAGATGGGAATGTAAGCATCTAACAAGCTCAGCAGGCTCTAAGTGGGCTGAATAGAGAGGATCTAATGTTTACACACATTGTAATCAAAATGTAGGAAGCCAGAACAAAAGGGATCTTGAGAGGAGCAAGAGGAACTCATCAATGCAAGAGCTCTCAGTAAGGTTCTTAGCAGAAATCTCTTCAGAACCTTTGGAGGCCAGAAGGCTGTGGACTGTTACATTTGGACTGCTGAAAGAGTGTTCATCATGAATTCTGTATCTGAGAACACTGTCCTTTAAAAATGAGGGAGAAATTAAGACTTTCCCAGATAAGCTAGAGTTGGGTTACCACTAGACCTGCCCAGTAACTCCAACCATATAATCTGAGTGAAGGTACTTACGTGGATAATTATTAAAGCTCATGTTATCCTAACAAAAGTGTTATTAGAATACTGTTGTTTCCTACATGATTTAAGAGACTTAATACCCTATTTAAAAAAAAAAACTAATTATTATTTTTGACTTGTAATTCTGTATTTTGTTTCTTTTTCTAACAATTCTTTTGGTTTTTTTTTTTGGTACCAGGGTTCATACTCACGACCTTGTGCTTGCCAGGCAGGTGCTTATGCCGCTGAGCTAAATCCCCAGTCCCTGGATTTTGTTTCTTGCATAATTTAATAGACTACTACAGTAAAATTTTTTTATATTTTTGATATAAAATAACTTACACATAAAAATTTTTGTCATAGTTGTGACATCAACAGTTGGAAGACATGGGGACAGAGCTGTTAAAGGAGTAGAATTTTTGGATATTACTGATGTTAAGCTGGTATAAGTTCAAATTAGAATGTTAGAACTTTGGGATGTTAAATGAGGGACAGAAAGGGTATGAAGCATGTAGAACACAAATGCACAGAAAACTAAAGCATACTGAAAACAAAGTGACAGAATAAGCCCCTCTTGATCTGTAATTACTTTAAATGTAAATGGGTCAAACTTTATAGTCAGACATCAGAATGGATTAAAAAAACATGATATAGACTACATTTTCTCTACAGAAAAATGTACTTTAGATCCAAAGACACAGATAAGTTGAAGTGAAGTGTCAGAAAAGAGCACTCGGCAAATAGCACCAAATGGCTCAGTAATTCTACTTCTAGGTATATATTCCAAAGAACTGAAGGCAGGGTTTTGAGAAGAAATGTTCATACACTGATGTTCACAGTAGCATTATCAACAGTGCCTAAAGCTGAAGTCAGTTAAGGTGTCCATTGAGAGAAGAATGAATAGGCAAAATGGAATATCACTCAACCTTAATAAGGAAGTTTATACACATGCTACAATGTAGGTGAATCTTGAGGACATTATAGGAAGTGATGTAAGTCACAAAAAGACATATACTGTGTGATTTACGTGAGGTATATTGAGAAGTAAAAATCATAGGGACAGGAAGGATGTTAGTTTCAGGGAGCTAAGGGGAGGTGGCATAAGGAGTGACTGACTGTTTTATGGGAATGGTGCTTCAGTTCAGGAAGGTGAATTATGGATATGGACAGTTGTGATGGTTGCAAAATATGAATTTTGTGTAATACTGTTGAATTATACACTTAAAATTGGTTAAGATGGGCTGGGTGTGGTGTCACACTCCTGTAATCCCAGTGCTTGGGAGGCTGAGGCAGGGGGATTGCTGTGAGTTGGAGGTCAGCCTGGGCTGTATAGTGAGTTTAAGGCCAGCCTGAACTACAAAACAAGACTGTCTAAGAAAAGAAAAGATAAGGTGGCAGTACTAATTTTATGTCATATTTTACCATGATGAAAAAAATGGAGAAAAAAGAATTTGTGAAACTTCTATATCTCTTACTTCAGTCAAGAAAAGACTTAATCTTGGATGCTTATATTAGTATATATTATGCTTTGTTATATTCCCCTATTTAATGTTTTTGGAAGACTGGATTAATTAGATAAATATATGTGTGTGTGCCTGTTTAGAAGAATTCTTTATACTTCACAAACTATGTAGTGGATGTCAGCATAGTAGGCACTTTCTTAGTGCTGTGTGCTGTAGGGGTCGCCCCCACTGAGAGTGCCAGACAGGTTTGCTGTGGAAATCCCACTCTGCCTTGACCCATGCGAGGCAGCTGTGGTGCACAGCACAGTGACTAATCAGTGTCTGTGTGTTGTACCTACATTTATGAGGTCTTTGAAGAATGAACAGGTAAGTATAATGTATGAGTCTGGCGTTTGGAAATAAAAATCAGTAAATTATGATATAGATATAACTGTTTTTTTCCTTCTCTTCTTTTTTACACTTTAGGACCCGAGGTGATCCAGACTTCTGTGGCTAATTTTTCACTAAATAATAGCAAAAAGGTAAGGCTGGGAAGAAGTGGGAGTTGGTGGGATGTTATGAACTTCTGGTCACTAGGACGTGGCCCCGCTGAGAGAGTCTTGAAGACAGACTGCCTTTGCCTGTAACTTGTGTCTCAAGCAACGCCCCATCCCTTTTTCTGGTGCTGGGGATTGAACCCAGGTACTTGTGCATGCTAGCCAGTGCACATGCTAGCCACTCAACCACACACCACGCCTCCTATACATATTTCACTGTCAGCTGCTGGCCTCTGAGTTCTTTATTGCTGAAATCACCTTTTCTGCTGTAGTAAGTACCTCAGTACTTAGGAAATATGGGGGCATTACTCCTTAAGTTTTAACAGTGATTACTTAGGTATCCGAACCTTTCTAGTCATATTTATCCCACTCAGGTCTTGTTCTGTAGCATTTTTTTAAATAAGTAACAGTTCTCTTTAATGGTTATTTGGTGTTCCTTGCATGAACTCAGTTTAAATGAGGTCATTTAAACTGCTTTCCCCATTTAAAAGGGTGCCTTGATTCTTCAACATTTTTAGAGAAAAAGAGAAGCCTTTTAGTTGGACGATTTGGGTTTTCTTTAATAAATACTAACTTGAGAGAGCCCCAACAACTAACCCTTTTATTTTCCTGTGTCAAATAATTACCTATAAACTGAACCCAGTTGTGCTGCATTTTCATGACATGATAATATGTATAGTTTAAATTTCATTATTTGTCATCTACTTTTTTTTCTTTTTGGTACCAGGAATTGAACTCAGGACCTTGCGCTTGCCAGGCAAGTGCTTGTGTCATTGAGCTCTATCCCTGGCTCTAAATCTCATTATTTGATCCCAAATTCCTTCCTCTCTGTTCTGCCACCTCTTTGATAGGTCTGTCTTTACATTTCTTTTGTAAAGGCAAAGTAAAAGTGTTCTAAAACTTAAAACCTTTTGGTTCTTCTTTTTGCCACTGCCGACTTGAAAGAGCACTCTAGTCTCTCTTTACACTTTCTTTGTGTTCCTATATTTTCTTTCACTGTTTGCTTTGGAGAGGGGCGTCATGGAGCTCCCTGACAGTAGGTAGTCTTCTGCTTTTCTGTCTCTCCAGGTATCAGCTTGTCTTTGACACTGAGCATAGCTGTCATCCTGCTGAACTGACTTGCTTCCGAGAGACCTTGATCATTTCAGAAAGGCAGTGTCTTATCCTCTGAAAGGTTTCTTAGCTGGGTGGCTTTCAACAAGTCTTGGGTGTCAGGAGTTTATTGAGACCCTTTTTGTGCCTTAAAACACAAAACACTCATCTGCAAAGATGATGCCTTCACATGGTGCTTTTCTTTGGAACTACAGATAAGTTCCTTTAACAGCCAGTGTGTCCCATTGCTATTAGAGACCAATATGAGTCCAGTGTTGTTTCAGAAGGTACTGCAGAGCAAATAATTATATGAGAAAATGTTTAATATCACTTGCCATTCAAGAGATGCAAATTAATGCTGAGATTCCACGTCAGAATGAATAGCAGTAATCAAGAAATCAACCAATAATAAGTGCTGAAGGGGCTGTGGGGAAAAAAGAACCCTTCTCCCCTGTGGGAGGAGTGCAGACTGGTACAACCACTGTGGAAATCAGTATAGAGATTCCTCAAAAAACTAAGACTAGAGGTTCCAGGTGACCCAGGTATTTCCCTTTTTGGTGTCTTTCCAAAAGGATTAAAAGCATCATATCATAGTGATCGATGCATAATCATGTTTATAGTGGCACTGTTTGTAATAGCTAAATCTTGGAAACAGTCCAGATGCTAATCAGCCAATGAAAGGATAAAGATGTGGCTTCTACTCAGAGTACTATCTGCCATAAAGAAGGGTAAGCTTGAGACATTTCTAGCTAAATAAATGCACTTCTAGCTAAATAAATGCACATTGAAATCTAAGTGAAATAAATTGGACATACATGTTTAAATACTGCATTATTTCTCTGGTATGAGAAACTGAAAGTGTAAATAAGGACTAAAATGTATAATAGACATTGGGAAATAAAATGTTTAAATGAGAAGGGGAACAAGGAACTGCGGAGGGGGAAAGGAAAAGGACAAGGATAAAATAGGAACAAATGTAAATAAATCTTTTGTAAATAAAAAGGGAAGAAGGATTGAAGGAAGGAGAGGGGGCTGGGGAAAAGCAGCAGCAAGATGTATCATACAGGCACAAATGCCCCATGATGATTGTTATCAGTATGTATATCTAAGATGTACCAATAAAACACACACAGATACTGCAGAAAAGTCATTGGCAACATAGCCCTCTCTAATTTTTTCTTTCCAGGGAATTGAGACTTTAATAAAGCTAAAAATAACATGTCAAACAGTGACGTGTCTGGCCACTGATGGTAATGAAATAATATTTGAGACACGTTACCTTGTGAATATAGAAGTATTTCTTTGGTCTCTTTCGTTATTTTTATATGTCTCTTACTCTGCTCTTTTCATATTTTACTCCAAATGGTTTTTCCTCGATGTTTAAGTAGGGATAGTGTCCCAAGGGTCCAGCTGGTAAGTTTTAATAAGACAGAAATTAGTAGCAGGTGGGAGTTGGTTCTTCCTTCTGAAAGAGCAACGTCACACTACATTGTCAAAAGTAAAGCTGTGTTTTTGTTTTAGCGTTAATGTTCAAACCTTTTAGCTAAATATAAGTTTTGCATGTTAAGATGTTTTTTTTTCAAGGAATAGGCCACATGGATTACCTTCTTTTCTTTTCTTTTACTTCAGCTGAAGCCAATCCAAATACGGTCAAATCCTCTGTCTACGTATAATCAGCAATTGTGGCTGACATGTGTGGTCGAGTTGGAGCAGTCAAAAGGTATGGGGCCTGACATTTGCGGGTGCTTTTCTAGTACAGACCTGGTGTGTGTGTGGTAATGGGGTTTGAAGCCAGTACCTCTGCGCTGAGCTATGTCCCCACACTGGTTTTTTTAAGACAGGATGTTGCTGCATTGCCCAGACTGGGTTTGAATCTGTAATCCTGCCTCAGTCTCCCAAAGTGCTAGGATTGCAGGCATCTGCCACCACACCCAAGCTATCATATGTAAAAGGTTGAAAAGACTTTAAGGTGTTTGGACAACTGCTGAAAGATAAGAGTATAAGGATGCTTGTTATTATTTATAATAGCAATAAGTTCAAGCCCCTTAAATGTCTCCCGGTGGGAAATACAGTTCTGATGTCTCTAGAGAGCACCTGACAGCCTACCTCAGCCGGGATCTGGAAGAAATTAAGTCCTAATGCCTAAGGCAATGATTGTGCTCCTCAGGGACACTTAGCAGAGTCTGGAGACAATCTAGCTGTCACAGCTGGGGAGGAAGGAGTGTTACTGGTATCTGATGGGCAGAGGCCAAGGATGCCACTAAACATCCTGCTGTGTACAGGACAGACACCTACAGCAAGGAATTATCCAGCCCAGGTTGTCGCTGGTGCCAGGGTTGAAGGACCTGTCCTAAGGCATTCATTGTGTGTAATGTGTAGCTAAAATGACACTTGCCTAAATGCCACTAGTTTTGTATTGTCTTTGAGAGAATTGAGATGGTTAGCCAAATTATTTTCTGTGAGGTTCTCTGATTGAGCAGAATTTGAGTAGATAGATAACCTTATGAATACAGTAAGAAAAAAATGCATATTACAAAAAGTATTCCTTTTTAGTAATATTGTAAAAAGCAAAAACAAGCATTATGTATTGGAGAGGCTGCCAAGTGCTGGGATTACAGGTGTGCACCACCATGCAGGCTATTACTTGATTTCTTGATAGCCACTTTCTCTGAAATTAAGATGGAATCTCATATTGTTTTAACTTGCATTTCTCTAGTGACCAGAGATACTGGATATTTCTTCATGTATTTATTGGTCATTTCTACTTCTGAGAAGTGTCTATTCTTTGGTTGCCCAGTTTTTGATTTGGCCTTTTATTTGGAAGGGTGTAATTTTTTTGTTCCTTATTCTAGATTTTAGTTAGATACCTGAGGAATAGCTAGCCACATTCCCCCCCCCCCCCGATTCTGTAGGATATCTCCATTCTGTTGGCTGTTTCTTCTCTTTTGTTTTTTTTGTTTTTTTTGTTTTTTGTCTTTTTCCTTTTTATCGGTACTGGGGATCGAACTCACAACTGCCTGCTTTACAAGGCAGGCGCTTATGCCGCTGAGCTAAATCCCCAGCCCCTGTTGGCTGTTTCTTTTGTTGTGCTTTTTAATTTGATGTGTACCCACTTGTTGACGCTTAGTTTCTTCTGCCATTGAGGTTCTGTTCAGAGTATTGTTGCCTACTCCCATGGCTGCAAGACTTTTATACCTATTCTGTCTTCCAGACAGTTGTTTCTGTTCTGACATTTGGCACTTTGATACATTTTGATTTTAGTTTGTTATGTGGTGAGATACATGGGTCTAGACTCAATCTGTAGTATGTGGTTATCCTTTTTTCCCAGCACCACTTACTAAAGGGACTGCCTTTTCTCCAGTGAATGTTTCTCGCCCCTTTGTCAAAGATCAAATAGCTGACTGTGCTTGGGATTGTTTCTGCATGTTTTATTCTGTTCTATTGATCCATATGTCTGTTTTTGTGCCAGCACCATGCTATTTTTATTGTTGTAGCTTTGTATTATAACTTCAGATCTGGTATTGTAATGCCTTCTACTTTGCTTTTATACCCAGGGTTGCTTTTGCTTTTCTGTGTCTTTTCTAGTTCCATATGAATTTTAGAATAGTTTTCTCTAGATCTCTGAGAAATGCTGTTGTATTTTGATTGTGAGTATATTATATCTATATATGAGTTTTGGAAGTATAACCATTTTGACTATTATGGTTCTACCTATTCAGGAACATGGGATATCTTTCCATTCTCTGATGCCCTCTTTGATCTCCTTTTTCAAAGTGATGTAATTTTCTTTTTTTTTTTTTGTACTGGGGATTGAACTCACAACCTTATGCTTTCCAGGCAGGCGCTTATGCCACTGAGTTAAATCCCCAGCAAAGTGATGTAATTTTGATCATAGGCATCGTTCACTTTCTTGGTTAATTCCTGTGTATTTAATTTTTCTTGATGCTATTGAGAATACAATTAGAAAAATAAAGTATAGTCAGAAAAATGAAAGTATGTTTTTGTATAAGTTAAAAGTTTCCTATGGAAAATTAAGAATGTACTGTCATTTCATTAGCTGTGAAGTACTCACCCTTATGAAATGAACATTATGGCTCTGAAATGGAGGTTTTGGCTTTGCCTAGTTACTTAGTGTTTGGAAGTAGAATCTAATGGAAGGGCTGGGCAAATGTGAGATTTTCAAATAATGGAAGGTAACGTGGCCTCGGAATGCTCCTGGGTACTCTGTGTGTTTTAGCCCCAGTGCCACAGCAGAGCCTGGCAAGGCACCTTTACTGTGGGATGGGCCTGAGGTGGGCTCAGACTGAGTTTCTTTCTTTTCTAGAAACTTCTATTCAGACAAACTTTTCCATGACTGTTAAAGTCAATGGTGTGGCTCAAGATGGAACCATGATGTACATTCATAACAAGATTCACAATCGGACTAGGACCCTCACATGTACAGGGGTGAGTGTGATGGTTCTGTGGCTGTGTACACTGGCACAGACCTGCTTCTACAGAATTGAAGGCAGAGCCTATTCAGAAGTATTGTAATCCCAGATATTGAGTACGATCATCCAAATGTGTAATCCCTTTTTCAGCCTTGCTCACAATTTTAAAAGTTGTATTTGTAATCCCTTTGAGACCTTGTTGGAATCCCAGCAAGTTAATTCCAATCTACTACCTCCAGTGCAACCCATGATGAGAGTTAAGACACCAAGACATATTCAAACTTCAGAGCAGCCAAGGGGTCCTAAATCCAACCCCCTGAGGGTGTGTGGACAAAGGCCATGATCCTAGACCTCTCCTAGAATTTATCATCTTGTGAAGAAGCGGGTGGCTTGAGGCTGAGTGATAGTGAGGATGGCAGGAACTACATAAGAAACTCGAGCTGGCTAGCCCGGTAGGGAGAGAGAGAAGCGTCTTTGCAAAATGCAAGGAGAATGACATGCAGAAGGATCAGTCTGCATAATTCAATTAAGGTAGCAATTGAATTGTTTTTGGAGGCTGTTGTTTCAGTTTCTGATAGTTAACATTTGTGCCTCGGGGATTCATCGCCTCTTTATTTCAAGACTCAAACCCAGTTGACATTCCTGGAGCTAACTGGCTCTGCCATCCACTGTGCTCATATCTTTATTATAGAGAGCACTATTCGAGGAAACAGGAGACTGATGGCTTTAAAGATACGTACCAGTACGTGGGCTAGCCTTATTTGCAATGCTTAGAGCTAATTGAAGAGGGAAGGAGATAGCATAGTCCTCTCTGTACATATCAGTATGTGGAATTAAGCCTTGATATAATCAATGTTGCAGCAACTGTTCTGCATTCAAGGGGAGTCACTCAAATTGTCTCCTCCAAGAAGCTTCAAAATACTATTCTTAAATAAGAAAAATTTGAGTCATGGCAAAGATAGTACAGAAGACTCACCTAATTGTACACTGTTGCTCTTAAAGGTTCTTATTAACTTGAACAGGTATGTACACATGTACATGCCTCAACACACACATACACATATGCTCACTCACCCTGCCACACACTCTTAGTGTATACCCAGCCTGCCTGGTGTGACTCACTGCCTGGTGTGTCCATGGACAATCCGTGGAAAGATGAAGATTTGCCTCTGTTTGGTGGTTGCTCTCCATTATGGGGGCGGGGGTCACAGTTGTTGGCATCAGGTGTTGAATGACCTGATCCATCTTGGGAGGCAGAGAACACAGGCTTCTTATAGAGAGTGACCTCCTTTGGGGGCATCTACTTCAGGGAGTATGTGGCTAAGCAACAGAAAACCTGAGGGTCCAAAATAGGAAGTGAACCCTCACTTTTGAACTCATTGGTCCCATGTTTTGTTCAGAATCGAAAGACTCAGAATTCAATTGCTGTGACAACAGGGGTTCATATTAGGACTCAGCCAGCTCTTGGAAGCACAGAGAATTTGGAGAGCATTCTATAGGCGGTGCGTTTGATCAGAGGACCAGACAGGTGTGTCGGAGACAGTGTGTACCTAGTCTGTGTGACACATCATGCTGAGTGTTTTCCTTTGGGTACTCATTAATCCTCACAGCAGGTACCTGGAGGAATGACTGTTATTAGAGCCCATTTTATATATGAAGTACAGGCTTTGAGGGTCAAAGCCATTGTTCAAGGTGACGAAGCTAGTAAATGGAGAGACCAAGTCTGAGGCTGTGCTCTTTCATCCTGAGCTCCTGGGCACATGATATACACTGCCTCATTACTGGCAGTAAAGACACCAGCCTGCTCATCCTGCTGAGTAAATGTGGAGCCCTGCACAGGAGCCAGCCTCCTCCTTCTGCTCCCTCTCTGTGAACCAGGTCAGGCCCCTGGCTGGAGGGTGCAGGGCTGTTGGAAAGATGAGCCATGCTGACAGTCTGGCCCTCTGCAGCAGACCTCAGCAGCCACAGTGCTATCCATCACAGTGGTGTCTAAAGAAGGCCAGAAGTAACTGGCCTATTGTTCTGCTTCCCACCTCTGGCCTGTGTGAGTGGCCTGAGCCAGCTTCTAGATCCTATTATCCTCACCTGTGAGTAAGTGGGCCGAAAGCTCCACCCCCACCTGTGTCTGGAAAGTGGTAAGGATCAAGGTGATTCACGTGCAGAGCGGATGATGTTTGTACCTGTGGAGGTGTCTTTGCAGCCCACCTGCCTGTGTGTTGATGTCATCAGTTCAGATGAATCACAGGAGGGATGGCATGTGTGAAGGTCAGAAAGGACAGCTGTGCTAGCATCTGGCTGTGTCTTCTCTCTTCCCCAGGCAAGAATGGGCCAAATCCCATCCTAGCCAGCATTTGGCAGAGGATGAACAGTTGTTCGGTGCTGTCACTGTGGCTGGTGTGACATCACCCTGACTCAGGGGTTTCCTTTTGCCTTCAGTTGGTTGTAAGCAATGTAAGTAGGGCTGGCCGGAGTACTGATGTGTAATCTTTGAAGCCAAACAGCCCTGTTTCCTCACCTTGTGTCTCTTCTGAATGGTTGAGCGTAGCAGGATGGCAGAGCCAATGCCCTAGGACCATCAGCTGGTACCAGCCTCAAGATAAGAGGCTATGACTTCACAGGGCAGAAAAAGTTTGCATATGAGAGCTAAATCACCAGCCCCCTAGATACTAAATGCTACCTCAGTTGTATTTTGCAGATTGGTCTTTCTGCATATCCTTCCCTCTGTATATTGCAGAGATGTTTTCTGGCCTGCTAGCTAGCTCAGTTCACAGTATCATGTAATTCCCACCATTCTGACATCCTTCGTGTGCCACTCCCTTCTTCATGGATTAATAAAATCTGAGTTAGGTCCTGGGTGAAGGCCTTTGTTCTATGAATCCCTGTCTGGACTGGACTCGGGACCCCTTGGCTTGCCCTTAACTGTAAATATGTTACAGTGTCTTTATTCTCACCATGGGTTGCGCTAGAGGGGGCAGATGGTAATTAACTCTACAGAATTCTATTAATGTTTCCATTGGATTACAAATATAAACTTCCTGGATCACGACAAGGACAGAAGAAGGTCTCAATGCGTGGGACTTCCTGTTTTAGGACCATGGTTGCTGCTTCCCACCCACCCTGGAATCAGGGCTTCAGGGAAAGCTAGACTGCCTGAGGTTGCTGATTGCGTTGTTGCTCGTTGAGAGTAGCCATCAGAGTATTTCTGTAGTTTCCCTCGACTCCAGTTGATGGCCCTGCCTCACTTTATACTGTATCAGTATACTATATACTGTATACAGTATACTTTATACTGTATACTGTATCCTGGGGAACATTTAGTATCATTTAGTATCAGTATACTGATTTAGTAACATTTAGTATCAGTATACTGTATACTGTATCCTGGGGAACATTTCTCTTTAGTGAGTGTGTGCTACCAAAGTGAGCACTTTTTTATGTGAAAAGAAGACATGCCATCTTGGAGTAGCATGGTTGTCTACATTGTGCAGGGAAGAAAACTGAGTTCTTCTCACCAGGAGTGTAGTAATCAATTTTAGAGCTTTGGCTTGATTTGGGACCCACAGATCTATATAGGGGCTTCACATGGGTTTTTTGAGTATAAATGTATATTCAGCCCAAGCAGCAATGCTTTTATTAGTTATGTTGTGGGAAAATTCCCAAGCCAAGCCACACAAACCAAACCAAACCAAACCAAACCAAACCAAACGGAAGACTACACCAAGGAAATAAGAAGCATTTAATCTTATACCAGTGAACTGTTGGATCTTCATACCAGTGGACTGTTGAAGGATAGTTTCTCAGCAACAGAGCTGAATTCAGGAAGAGTTTAGTTTATATAGAATTTAGAAGTGGGAGGTACAGTGCAAGTGATTAAATGTTGCATATTTGGTTGCATACATTGAGTCATGCATTGACAGGCAGGCTAGTCTTGAAACAAAGAAATTAGCATAATACAGAAACACTCTGGGAACAAGGGAAGGGGGCCCTTACAGAGTGGGTATAGTTAAAAGTATTACCGTAATAGAGGGAGCCCTTAAATTAGCCCAGGACACCTTAAGGTATAGCCAATTACTCTGACTCTGCTCATCAGAAGTGTGCAGCTGGGGATTTAGCTCAGTGGCATAAGCGCCTGCCTTGCAAACAGGCAGTAGTCGTGAGTTCAATCCCTGGTACCCATTAAAAGGAAAAAGACCAAAAAAAAAAAGAAGTGTGCAGCTGGGCTATAGACACCGCCAAGGTCAGTTGAATTCAGCAGAAACAGCAGAATGAAACTTGGCCAGAGTTGATCTAATTGATCATGAAATATCTGTAAGTTTGCTATCTTATAAATGAGTTCATTATAATTGTGACCCAACAGTTAAAACATCCCCTGAAAATTGAGTCATGTTCCTATACTTGTAAGAAGTTATAGAGGTCCTGCTAGGCCGAGCCTCTTGTGTTTACCGTTGGGAGGAGTCCACATTTGTAATCCCAGGGAAAGGTTATTGAATTCTAGTGAGAAAATTCCAGCCTATCACTTGCAGTGCAACCACAGTGAAAATAGAGACAAGTACATATCTGTAGTTGTCAGGAGCCAAGGGGCCACTACGTCCAGTCAGAACATTGCTAATGAGAACAGAGGTCTCAACCAGGGCCATATCGGGGTTTCATTAGTTTGTGAAGAGGGAAGTAGCTCGGGGTTGAGTGACCGTGTGAATGATGGGAAGTACATGAGTACCGTGAGCTGGCTAAGGAGGAGGCATAAGAGCACCTCTACAGCATGCAGAGAGAGATACACAGAAAGAGTACTGCATTCAGGTAACAGCCTCTTAAGTATGCAGGAATATACGTATCACAGTTTGAGGAGATATTTGGTGGTTTTAGTCCCTGCTGCTTCCTCACGGGTGCTTTCTAGCCTTAGTCACAATGACTCTTGGACTCACTCAGCCTAGCTGACTGACCTGTGGCACTGCTTCAGAGGCTCTCCTGCCAAGTCAGGGGATGAAGTATTATCTTAGCCAGCTCTGTACATGTCAATATGTGGAATTAGGGCCAGGTTTAGCTAAAAGGGAGACAAATGCCCTTCTTTCAAGGAGAGCCCTCCTGGTGGTCCTCTGCAGGAGATGCTTCTCTGTCTAGCAGAAATATGTTTACTGATGTTTGAACCTGTATGCCCCTGGTTTTGCGTCTGTGACTATTGGGAAGGAAAAGTGAATTTAGTTTTTTTGGGAATCCATAAACACATGCCCATGCCCCAAAGGGCAGGAAACCAATTCAAATGAGAAAAACTGCTCAGGTGGAAAGAAAACTGCAGCTCCGATGAGATGAAGAATAGCAGAGAAGCGGGAAAGTGGGAAGGCCGAGGGGTAGCCAGGTAGCCCCTGCCCTCCAGGGCAGCCCTCCCTGCCTGGCTGAGTGTGGCAGGCTGCGCTGCAGGCCCGTGGTTGCCAGTGTGGCCAAGTGTTTGAGACTTTTTGGCCTTCATGCTGCGTCTAGGTCTTGCACACTCACTTTTGGCTTTCTTTCTTGTCTTTTGAGTATCACCTGTAAGACATGTTGTATAAAATCCAGCTCTGTTTTCTTGCCCTGACATTCCTGGTTTGGGAAGCTTCGGACAAGCCTGACTGCCCTGTTCAGAACCAAGACAGTAACAGTGACACCTGGAAGGGCACAGAAGTTCTGAGCAGTGGTTAGATTATCCTGTGGCACAGAGAGAGGAAGGCACAGCATGTTCAGGGGCGTGTTAGCTTGTGTGGCAGGGCCGGGGCAGACCCTGACCAGTGAGTATAATGCATATCTGTGTCCTGGAACAAGCACTTGTCCTCCTCCACTTCTATAGGGGCATCCAAGGAGGAGGCACAGAACACCGATCTCTAATTCCCAAGAGGACTTTTGGCAGACCGTACAGTGTACACATTCACATAGTCCTCTCATGGCTGCTCACACAGCCTTTCCTTTTGGGGTGAGAGAAAGGGCTCTTTGTAAGGAATGACAAGTACGTTACCTATTCTAAATGGTGACAGTGATTGCAAGAGGACAAGTTAGGCTGCAATATCTGATCTGTGTCTTACTGTGCGGGTCCTTGTGTATCGCTGTGTTTATGGAAACATCAGGTTTGTGTTGATGCATAACTTTTTATGCAGGTGAGTGATATTATTTTCAGTTTTCCAGAGTAGGGCGATTTAATTATTATAAATCCTATGTTTTCAAAAATACTCATTTGGAAGTTTCTTTCTAAGAATTATTCTTGGCTGATACGTGACTTTTTGTGGGTTTTTGGCAAATTCCCTGGAGACAATGAGTTGTTGAAATGTGTTGCCTATGGGTCAGTTGGTGGGAGAGTTGGCCTTAGCGCTGTAAAGTCATTGATCTTCTTTGTGTTTACAGAAATGTGCAGAAATCATTGTGGCTCACCTTGGCTACTTGAATTACACTCAGTACACAGTAACTGTGGGATTTGACCACCTGAGTCTCCCCATCAAGGAGATGAACTTCACAGTGAGTACATGGCCGGACACACGGCTTCCATGACTCCCCTGTTGACTGATGGTAACGCATCACACTACCTAATAATGCTGTTTTTGACAGGAAAACCTTAATGTTTTAAGTGTGTAGAAGTGAGAATAGCTTAGGGAAGCAGTGTAGAACTTGAAAAAAAATCTTAGGTGTCGTGAGATTTAAGAGAGAGACTATACTAATACCCCAGTTGGAAGGTAATCATAGGGTCATGAGGTAAACCAGTTGTCCCGTGAAGACAGGTCCTCTCTAGCCCTCATGAGTGGTCTTCAGAAACTCGGTGAGAGGAAGGCACTGTGCTAACACATTATCCTTTCTTGTGTCCAGCTGAAACCTACCTTGTTCTTCTGTGCCCTCGGCATCAGTGTGATCCTCAGAGTGGGCAGGGATGAGGGCTTCAGGTTGAACCGATTAGCTGCATTCAAATCCTCGCCCTGTTGTTTACCAGTTTGTCTCCGTTGAGCCCCAGTTTATTTTACCTGTAAAACAGCTACTTCTGACTGTTGTAAATATTTAATGAAGCTAATAATGGATGGATTTTTTTAAAGTTTTATTGAGATATAATTCACATACCATGAAATTTACCCTTTTAAAGTACGTGGTTATCAGGCGTGGTACATGCCTATGAATCCAGCACTTGGGAGGTTGAGGCATGAGTATTGCTGTGCGTTAGAGGCGAGCCTGAGCTACATAGCAAGACTCTGCCTCAATAAACAAAAAAGCAAAACAAAAACATTGTGTGGTCCCATAGTGTTTAGTATATTCCTAGCCATGCAACTGATACCACTGTCTCATTCTGGCACGTTTCCGTCACTCCAAGAAGCCTCTGAGTTGTTGCTTACCTCTGTTGTAGTCACTTTCTCATTAGTGAGATGCAGTATCCGACACCCACGTCTTAAAAGCAGAGAGGTTATTTTGGCTCAGGTTTCAGTCTGTAGAAGGCTGGCTCCTTGACAGGACAGCATGACAGAGGCTCATGGCAGAGGGAAGCTGTTTGTGGCAGACAGGAAGCAGAGAGGAGAAGGGCAGGAAAGGGAGCGAAATTTGCCCTCCCAGGGTTTACCTTTTTGGACCAGACTCCCGCCTCCTAACAGCACGCTAGCTGTGAGCTCCTGTGATACAGTCACCTTCCAAAAGCACCCCTCCCCATGAGTATATGAAGATTTGGAGAGGACATGTACCTATCAAACCATAACATTGTGTTCCTGGTCCCCAACAATCTCACGTACATCACTTAGTGCTTCTCATGGCATGGAGGACAAGAAATAGCCATCAAGAGGGGAGCCGGGAAGGGTATCGCTCTGCTTCCTGTCTGCCACGTGTGAGCAGCTGCCTTCTGCCGTGCCCTCCTGCCTTGGAGCCAACCAACTATGGGCTGAAACTGAACCAAAATAAACCTCTTCCTTTAAGTTATGGGTGTCGGGTATTGAGTCTCAGCAATGAGGCAGGTGATGAGGGCATCTCCCGAGGTCCCTCTAGTCACTGCTCTTTCTGTTGCTGGGGGTGTTGGCCCCGTGTGGACAGCTCCTGTGAATGGAGTCAGAGAGCAGGTGGTCTCTCGTGGCTGGCTGCTTTCCCTTGGCATGCTGTTCTCAAGGCCCATCCACATTGGTTAGGACATCAGCACTTCATTCCCTTGTCCGGGTGGACCACATTTTCTCTTTCTATATATCTATGTCTGTGTAACTCTCTATGTCTGTATCCATGCACGGTACACTGGATGTACTGGTAAGGGAATTTTTCATTCCCCCAGGGACAGAGCAGGACAGCATGCAGTGTCATCAGGCTTGACACACAGCGCAGTCCTTTATTTAAAGCTTTTAAAGGGTGTATTTCTGGGATTTTCTACTGAATATTTTTGGACCATGTTGGCAGAGTGTAAACTGAAATTGTGTCCTTGCTGCAAGACAACAGATGAGAGTGTCTGCTGTACAGTGGTGCCCACCTGCCAGCCTTAGAAGCAGCTGGTTTTACTGGCTGTGCTATGCACACATACCAGGCTCTGGACTTGACTCTGGCCATTTTCACTCACCTTCCGGTGTGTCTGCTGAGCTTCTGTGACACATTCTCTGTGTGTCACCATGATCCCCAGGGCCCCTCACAGTTTATCTGGACATGTTTTCACCTAAGTGCTTCTCAGAGTGACCTTTGAGCAACACGTAGCCAGCTGTCCCTATCTCTGTTCCTCTTTTATCTTCCTAAGTCATGACCTTTGGAGGATAAAACTGAAACAGCAGCCCCTGCAGTCCTGGCTCGGGGTCACTTCCACTTCATGTGTGAATCGGCAGGGGTGGCAGCAGGCCAGGTTTGATAAGGAATGCCTTGAACATGGCTCCTTTTGCCCCCAAATAGTTCTGCAGCATGATTTCTGCGTTATGTAGAAGGCCTGCAAAATGTGAGGTATGATTGGGTCCCCATTCCAGGAAGTGTGCTCGCTGCTCTTTATGTCAGTGGATCTGAATGGTGGCTCCCCAGGGCGTGTCCTCCCTCCATGGATTTCCGATGCTCTCCAGAGGCTTCTGAGAATGTAAGAAAACGTTTGTTTTCTGCTGAGGAATTAGTCAGCTCTTGGAGACAGGTTTGCCAGTTATCTTTTTCTCAAAATTCATGTCTGCACAGGATTTGACGTCATCTTTGCCTGTAAGTAGTCAGAGCAGATAATGAATGGGTTGGATGGGTGACCGAGGCCCAGGAGTGTCATGGTGGGAGGTGACTTAGGTCAGTAAGTGGGTGCTTGTTCCAGATGTAACCTCACAGTCTCACATGGCAGGTCCCGCCTCTGAGAGAACAGAGATGGCTTTGTGATGCCAACAGGACCTTGAGGTAAAAGCCAGTGGTGGAGTGATATAAAAATGAATCTTTTCTGGGATTTCCAGTTTATATTTGAGGGGTTAAGGATAGACACACACAAAAAAAGCACCTTTGTTGCATAGAATCAGGTCCTTGTAGTGGACCGGGCTGGCCTTGGCTTGTCACGTGCTACTCCTGTACTGGCCCAGCATTACCCCTGGGCCTGGGACCTTCCTTTCTCTGGTCCTGCCCTGCTGAAACCCAGTGTGCCTGGTGGGCTGGGTCTGCAGCAGAGGGGCAAGGTCTGTCTCTGGGTGGCAGCGTGAGGGAGGAAACAGTGTTCTCAGCCCTGGCACCGCTGAGCCACAGGCTGACTTGGCTACTCTGGCCCTAAGGAGCACATGGGCTACCACAGAGGATGCCCAGGGTGGAGGAGGTTCCGGCCAGGGAGACAAGACTGGGTTGAGTGTAAAGAGGCACCTGGGGCCTGTGTGTTGTGCATCAGGTGAGTGCTCGGGGCCGTCTCCTTCAGATAACTCATACTTTACAATCAAAATGTGTATTTTAGTGTTAGCTGTATGAATGAAGCGTTATTTTTTAGTGTTAGTTTTTAAAATGCATCCATTGTTTTCTGTTGCTCTGATAGAACCTTAAGACAAAATCTCCCTTCTTCAAGGGAATTCATAGTTCTTTTCTTTTTTTGTAGTTATTTTCTTTCTTAAGGATTGGAGTCCCTTGAGGGTGAAAACCAATGTTTCATCACGGTTACTTTGAACATATTTTGTTTATTCTGATGGTAATAGTTCTGTCTTTCCTTCTGGATCATGCCTTACAGTATAACTTTTCCAGTAGGACACATACTCTCATTCTTTCTATTTGGATATGTGTTCACCTCACCCTCCTCCACCCTCAGAATCGTAACTTTGGTTATTCAAAAAAATCACATGATACTGTCATCAGATTCCAACACTGTAACAGTATTGATAATAGTTACGTTTTGGAGTTTTAGTAGTTGTATGTGTGTGTTAATGGGGACTGAACCCGAGGCCCTTTCACGAGCTACATCTCCAGCCCTTTTTAAAATCACCCTCATCTTTGTCTTTATGCTCTGAAATAATTTGTTTTTATCCTCTGAAATAATACACCTGTTTCTCCCTTCACACTTCCTTTTAAGATTTTTCTCGTTTACTTACTTAAATAATTTGATTTCAGTGTTCCTTGATGTCCTTTTCTTCATGTTTCTTATGTCTGGGGTTCATTAACCTTGGATCTGTGAGTTTATAGTTTTATCACCTGTTTTGGTTGATACATTGTGTCAACTTGAGAAGTTTTACAGTTTAACTGAGAAGCTCAGCAGGGAGCCAGGGATCTTACTTTGTAAATATCCTCATCCTGTGCAAAGGAGGGCAGGGTGATGTGAGGGCTACAGCCCCGCTAAAAGAGGGGTAAGCGGGCGGCCTGCATACACTATAAGGGAAGAGAAGAGGCTTGTTTCCCCCTTTTTGCTCTGGCTGCTTTTGCTGGCTGCTGCCTTGAAGTGTTGCCACAGTGTCATGCTACCCTGCCTTGGGGCCAGCTGATTATGGACTGAAACCTTTACAAAAAGTGAGCTAAATAAACCCTTCCTTCCTTCATTTTGGGTGTTGGGTGTTTTGTCCCAGCAAGGAGAGAAAAGTAACCAAGACACCACCTTTGGGGGAATTTTAGCCATCTTCAAATATTTTTTCTGTCTTCCATCTCCCCAGATTCAGGAATTCCAAACATGTCTCTGAAGCCGCCTGAGGTCTTCCTGCAGCTTGCTGTGCACTCTTTTTTCTGTTGCTTCCTGTGCTGTGCCCTCACACTCACTAATCTCTGATCTGCTGTCTTCCAGATCTCTGCTAAATATGGTGAACCTTTCATCTAGTGTTTTAGTGTCCTTGTCTGCCAGTTCTGTCACTTTGATTTCTGGATTGGTTTGGGTGGATTAGGTTTTTTTTCCTCATTATGGTCTATATTTGCTTGCTTTTTTTCTTTTTTAAATACAGTGCTAGGGATTGAACTCGGAGTCTTGGGCGTGTGAGGCAAGTGCTTTACCACTGAGCTTAACCCCCTGCCCCATGTGTGATAGTTTTGATTCAGTGCAAATGTTGCTTGTTGCTAGGTCTTGTATTCTTACAAGCATTCTTAAGCTTTGTTCTGGGATGTTATCTATCATGTAGAAACACTTGGATCTTTTTGGTCCTTAATTTTGAACTTCGCTGAATGGGACCAAAGTGGCACCAGATTTGAGTCTGACTTTCCCATCGTGGTGGCAGAAGTGTGCACTCCCTGATGTCCTGGTAATATGAATTTGCTCTTGTGGGAACAGACCGCATCACTGGCCCTGTAGGAACTACGCACAGGCTCCGTGGGAGGCTTGTCCCTGCTGCAAGTGGCTGCTCACACTGTGCCCTGGACGGAGATGGGGTAGGGGATACCCTTGGTCAAGGTGGGGTACTTTCCTTTGCTTGGTTCAGTGGCATCTGGCTCCTCTGGCCCCGGACTCCCAACTGTGTGCTCACAACTCAGGCAGAACATGTGGCTCTACTTGGGCTTCCTGATGACTGAGGGACCCTGGGGGCACCCATGTTCCCGTCAGCCAGGCATTACTACTCTTCACTGTCTTCGTAAGTCCTGTGTCTTAAACTGTTCACAGTAGATCTGGTGTGTGTTTGTGTATATGTGTGTGTTTTAGGTAGATCTGGGTGACTCAACCTTTTTTGCAGTTGATTATTAACATTACTGAGATGACTTTCACTCAGTACCTGAAAATGATGGGCTCGTTCGTTGGTCCTGTGCTGTGCCATGTTCTGGCGTCTGGCTGTGAGTCTGGCTTGTGACCAGGCTTGACAGACCCCCATGGGCAGGTGGCGCCTGTACCCTTTGCTCATGCAAGGAGCGAGGACCTGCTTGGGTCAGCAGAACTGACAAATGTAATTGTGGTTTACTTTCCTGGTTTCAGATTCACATTTATATGCTTTATTTAAACTTCATAGAAAATTCTGCTCACACATTTGCATCTTATAAAAATCTATTTTTAACAAATGGAAAGTGTGGTCTTTTTCTAATAAAGAGATTGTTAAGGTTAGTTTAATAGGAGATTTAAAGTCTAAATGTTCTTATTATGATTATAGGCTATTTACCAGAGTCCTCTGTTAAAACTATTTTCAGCTCTTTGTCATCTCTGTTCTTTAATATGAAAGTAAAAAGGTCAAATGTGGTGCCAAAGCTCTAATCCCAACACTTTGGGAGGCTGTGATCCAAGGATTACAAATTCAAGCCCAGCCTGGGCAGTTTAGTGAGGCTGTGTCTCAAAATAAAAAATTACAAAGTGGGCCGAGGATGTAATTCAGTGCAGAGATTCTTGGTTCAATCCCCAGTACTGGGGCGGCGGGGGGGGGGGGGGGACCTACTGAGTGTTAAATTTTTGCAATGTGTGGGAAAGTATAAAGAAAAAGCAAAACCCGGGCCAGGTGCCTGTAATCCGAGCACTCGGGAGGCTGAGGCAGAATGATTACTGCATATTTGAGGCCAGTGTGGGCAATAGTAAGTTCAAGGCCAACATGAACTACATAGTGACACCCTGTCATCTCAAAACGAAAAAATTTAAAATTACCTAAAACCTCACATTTGAAGGGAACTGTTATTAGAGGTCTAGTGTATTTCCCCTTACATGCCTTTTTTTTTCTTTTTCTTACATGCCTTTTTTTTTTTCTTTTTCTTTTTTTAAAATTTACTTTGTTTCTCCTTCTTTCTATTTCAGTGGAAGACTTATAACCCTGCATTTTCCCAGTTGGAAATTTGGTTCCGCTTTGTCTTTGTGGTGCTCACCTTCATCGTCACTGTGAGTACCATTTGCCTGGTGACTGGCAGCCAAGTCCTAGCTGAGACAGGCTGTCTGTGCAGATACGATCCTTAGAGAGCGAGCTACTCAAAGAGTTACTGAACCCTCAGATCTGCCTTCTAGGAGGCTGGCCAGGTACTAACCATTCTGTGTGGCAGGGCAGCTGAGATGCTCTGTGCAAAAAAGAATGACAGAATCATTTAATTAGGACTTCTGTGCAGCATAATAATAATGGCAGATCACTGACTGTTACGTAAATGTTCATCATTGTGCCATGACAGATGTCACTGAACCTGTGTGGAAGAGATTCTGCTGTATCAGAGTGACTTTTTTGCAGGTGCAGATATAGCCATTGTTGGGTTTTTGTATTTGGAAAATTGTGCAAGAAATTTTAGTCTTTGAGCCTTTCAGCACTAAGGCTACAGAGAATTGGTTTGGAGACGCACCTTTGGGCTTGTTTGGGGCCCAAGGTTTGTGTCCACCTGCCCACTAACTTTAGGGGAACACCTTATGCTTAGGAATATAAGGGTACTCGACAGGGCCAGTGTGTGGAGATAAGGGTTTATGGATTAGAGACAGAATCAGTGTGCTATGTTTAGTGATCAACCTCTGTCTGAAGGGTAACATTCTGCCCTCATCAGCTGTTCCCCTCAGTGCTGACTCAGAGGGCGTGACATTTAAGAAATGTGTCCACTTCTTATAGTGGTGACTGCTCCAACTGTCACCTTAGGAACATGTGGTACTTTGTAGACTTGCTTGGTAGAGCAGGACATGGGCATTGGTGGACATGGGAGGGTGGCTGGAAATGGGGCACGGGCACTACATTTAGCTGGGAGCTTATAGTGCTATGTCATCCAGAGAACCTTACTAGCGAAGTGAGGGCTGGTGTCTTATTTGGCTGGTCTGAAATCTTCAGTTTCTTGAGGGCTGGCTGGTGCTGGAGTCCAAAGACTGGCATTTTTAGCCCTCAGGTATGTTTATGAAAAGGAGAAATAGGCTGAGCCTTATCAGTTAAGCTGGTCTGGGGAAATGACCCAGGAAATCCAAATTGCCTAGAAAATTCTCAACTTATGTCAGGTAATAGAAAAATTTTAAAAAAAGAAAAAAACAGGCCTGGTCATCACAGATTAAATACCATTTTAAGGTGGTTTAAGGACACTCTTCCCTGGGCCCTCATACCTTCTCCAGGATGCCAACTATGTAAGCTGCCTTGTCGGAATGTGTGGCCTCCTGGTGGGGTCCACAATGTGTCTGTGCTGGGAGGCCTGTGGCCGGCATCTAAGAGTGAATCCCAGAAGCAGGGGGAGGTGAGACTGTGCGTGCTCTTTCTGTTTACAGAGAATTCACGGCTGCTCTGTTCTCTTCCTCCTTGCCCTGTGAGAACATCTTGTGACCCATCTCACCTGGCCACCATGCAGCTGCGCCCCTCTTAGCTTAGTTGTCACTGATGCCCTTTGGAACCTCAGTAGTCTGTTCAGGCAGGCCTTGACCCAGCAGATCCTGGCCCGGCCTGCTGACTGCTGTGGGATGAGGGACATACCCAATTGGGAGGCAGGGCATGAGCAGTCACCAGCGTGTGTTTGATCTGCAGTGTCTCTTTGCACATTCCCTGCGCAAGTTCTCCATGAGAGACTGGGGCATCGAGCAGAAGTGGATGTCTGTCCTCCTGCCACTGCTGCTGCTGTACAACGGTAGGTACCATTTTCCCCTGGCACTTTCCCTTTTCAGACTGAAAGCTGGCAGGCATTCCAGAGGTGGCCTGGTCCCAGAGTCCTCAGAGAGAGGCGCCTGCGGGAGCCCCTAGTGGAATATGTAGTGGCACACTGCTGCTTCCCAGGAGCCGTTTTGCACAGGCCATGGCAGATGCTCAGATCTTTAACACAGCTACAGACGCAGCAGGCCTGGAACTTGGCTGAAGATACCCACACGGCTGCTCCAGAAAGCATTTGCTTCCTCGGAATTCCCAGGCCTGTGGGAGGAACTGATGCAGGGGCAGACGGCTCTCTGTTGTGATCACTGCAGCAATCTGTTCTGTGGCTTTTAGGCATTTTGAAAACAAAATAGCAGCTGGGCACGGTGGCATAAGTCTTTAATCCCAGCACTCTGAGAGGCTGAGGCAAGAGGATCACAGGCTTAAGCCCAACCTGGGCAACTTAGTAACTTAGCAAAGACCCTGTCTCAGAATTAAAAAATAAAAAAAGGACTCAGTGCAAAGGGTTCAGTCCTCCATATTGCAGGAAAAAAACCAAAAACAAAACTAGCCTTTGGTTCATTGCCTTTCCTTTGACTGTGCCTTGAGAGTCACCAGTCTGGCCTTGAAGAGGGTGGGCTGTGATTGTTGCTGTGTGTGTTGGTTTCATCCATGTTTCTGTCTTTTGCCTTCCAGACCCGTTCTTCCCCCTCTCCTTCCTGGTGAACAGCTGGTTCCCAGGGATGCTAGATGATCTTTTCCAGTCTATGTTCCTGTGTTCCTTGCTGCTCTTCTGGCTGTGTGTGTACCATGGGATACGGGTCCAGGTAGGCCATCCGCCAGACCCTCCTTTCCAAGGTCTGAGGGAGACCCTGCAGGATACATGGCACCATGGAAACCTCTTTGGTCTCATACGGTGGACAGCAGGATGCACACTATGTGAAATGTTTTGTTAGGGTTGTTAGTGTTGTTTTGCTAGAATTACTAACTCTGTATTCTGTGTCTCTTACCTTTTTTTTAGGGAGAAAGAAAATGTTTAACTTTCTATTTGCCTAAATTCTTCATTGTTGGCCTGTTGTGGCTGGCTTCTGTTACTCTAGGAATATGGCAAACGTGAGTAATTGTGTTTGGTGCAAAGGGTCAGACCTGAAAGTGGTGACAGAACTGTGCAGACTGGATCTGACAGGGCTTTGTGACTGGAGCTGAGGGATTTGGTCCTGCTAGAGTGGTTTGTCGAGAATACGTGACTCAAGTAGTATGGGATGCAAAATGAAAGAGCCATGTCAGTTTAGATTTCTCCTTTAGAGATGAGACTGTGGTGTTGGGATGGTGCTGGACTAAACTCTCCACTGCCCAGCAGATGGTCTGGGTCCTCTCAGCCTGTCGCTTACATCTTCCAGCGTTCTAAGCCTTGGTTTTATCCTTTTGGTATCATTGTCCTTCTGTGAGTGGTGCCACAGCAGAGGTCTGTGTCATAGCCTGATACCCAGGTAGGGCTGTTTGCCCATAGTGCCCAGTGAGGGTGTGGCTTTGCAGTCACAGTGATTCACATGACAATCAATCAGACTTCACCCCCGCCGGCTCCACTTCTTACCCCTGCTTCCCTGGAAGCTCAGCTGCCTGTTTTCTTTTTAAAAATTAATCTTATAGTAGTTGATGTTTACCTCTTTTGCTTTCTTTGTGTCTTTCCCTTATTCATGGCGCCCAGGTATGTCATCAAAAACAGCTCTTGCACTTGCAAAAGCAAGGAGACTTTTGTAATAGAAAACTGCAACTTCACTATCCTGATGAGTGTGGACAGTTAGTATCGGGTGCTTTTCAATGTGAAATAGGAAATTTAGGGTTTTTCACAAATGTATTACTTTTTAAAAAAAATTTTCACTCTTGCAGCAGTAGTTTATATTAATAGTTTTTTTAAAGCCAGGTGAGAAAAGCATAAAATAAAAAGTAAAACTTATTACTAATGTGTAATTTTTAATTTTTAGAGTCAATGAATTACATGATCCAATGTACCAGTATCGAGTGGACACTGGAAATTTTCAGGTAAAGTATGTTAATGAAGCCTGAGAGCTTTTTTTTGAATGCCATTTAATGCAGTGACCAATTTGGTACCTTAAAATGTGCTATTGACCCAGTCTTCCTAGTTGGCTATTTGGGAAGAGCTACAACTAATTCAAGGGTAGAAAATTTGGGAAAACCCTAGGTTTAGGTAAAATAATACGCTGATTCATGTTGATCTGCTGTCACCATCTGGCAACATCCTTTTGTTGTTCAGGTGAGGGAGCTCAGGGCAGAAAAGGCCCCTGAGCCAGTAGCAGCTGTGTGCATGTGTGTGTGTGTGTTTGTGTGTGTGTAGAGGGTGGTGGTGGCAGCTCCAGCATGGGGGCCAGGTGAGCAGGATCCCCAGAAGGTCTGAGAGCATGAGCGGCCTCCTTTCTCATCTTTGTTTTCATCTGTGAATGTGGAAGGCCTGGGGTTGTTGGTCAGCCCTTTGCTTCCCAGCCAGGCTGTCTGGAGAGCTGCTGTGATGGGCCCACATCTGTTCCGAATGACTCACCAGAGGTCAGAAGCTGCAGGGGTGCTTGTAGCAGCCATCTAGTGCACCCTGTTATTTTACAGTGGAGAAAATAAAGCCTAGATGACAGCCATACTGGTCCCTTCAAGGCAGAAGCAGAATCTGGATCCCTGACCTGAAGTCCTGCTCTCTGGGTCATGACTGTGAAGGGGGATTCTGCTGCATGGAGGACAGGAAAGGGATGGAAGCTCCTGCTGAGGGAAGCGGAGGACCCCAAGGGGAAGCAAAGGCTCAGCAGGGAAGGGGCATCGCCTGCTGCAAGCCTGGCTTTCAGCAGAGCCTCTGGCCATCACTGCAGTGCCCACAGTGGCAGGGCTGCAGACCTGTCCTCCCTGGATCCCATCTTCAAGTGTGTTTCATTCTGCCCCTCATTTTACACACAGGGAGCAGCTGAGACTTGCCAAGATCCAGGTCTAGCCCTAGTGCTTTGAGTATGAGCCTTTATCATCATTAGCAGGGCAGGACCAGACCCCACCCAAGGGAGGGACATGCAGTGGCCACCACCATTTGCCAGATGCCCCTGGGCCTGAACCCTGGACAGGCAGCAGGCATGTTGCCGACGGGGTTTGGCTCTGGCTTCTCCTCTGATGTGCAAGGGCTGGGGTGTCTTTGGTGGGAGTTGCCTTTTGTTTATGAAAGATCCTCACCCTGTCTGTGTCTGGGGTTGACCTTGGGACTGCAGGTCCCTTGTGGCTTTCCTGCCTGTGTGATGCTGGGAGGGGCTGTGTGCATGTGCACTGAGGTCTCTTCTGACTCAAATACTGTTTTTGCCAGGGAATGAAGGTTTTCTTCATGGCGGTAGCAGCGGTATACATTCTGTATCTCTTGTTCCTGATAGTGCGCGCCTGCACTGAGCTGCGCAACATGCCTTATGTGGGTGAGCATTACTTCAGGGACCACCTGGCAGCACTGATGTCTCCTGATAAGGCTGTCCCTGAGGGAGCATTACATTCCTGGGAACGACAAGAGGCCCCAGTGGGTAATTGGCCATGTAGAGAGAGGCCTGTGGGGTGGAAGGCAGCAGCCCTGGATGCTTTGGGGCTATGAAAGGTCCCGTCAAGACTGTGCCGCAGTCGCTGGTTGGAGTTCCCTGATCTCAGGGTTCTTCCTCGATAGTCCTTCCCAAAAGGGGTTGTGTGAGCTCCGCTGATGCCACCCTGGGTCCCAAACTGCTGTCTTTCCTGCCTTTAACAGTACAGCAGGCAGAGGGATTTTGGGGCGCGTGGCGGGGGGGGGGGTGTTCCTTGATGCAAGTGGAATTTGCTGAGTATGTTTCTTTCTTTTTTAGATCTCAGGTTAAAATTTTTGACAGCATTGACCTTTGTAGTGCTTGTTATCAGGTAAGACTATGTTGTTGTTGCAAAGTAACTTTGAACTTTGATTCCATTGTCATGAGTAACTCTTCGGTTTGTGGATTTACTTTGGGATGGTTTTGGACTCATCTGAGGTTGAGGTGGGGTGTGGGGCTCTGGGTTTTGGGATCCTGCTCATGCTCTGGGGTCAGAGGACAGGGCTCCAAGTGTAGCTCAGTGTTGCAGGTGTTGGGGAGCAGCATGCAGTCCTCAGGGAGGAGCTGCTGTGCCTTTGCTGTGGTTTTTGGATAAATTCCTAATAATTATTTGGTTTTTGAGGTTGCCTCTATTTCCTAAAAATGAAAATCCAGAAGAGTAGCAGTCTCTTTATCTGTGTTACTTTTTGGATGGCAGTTAAGCAGATGTGAGGCTTCTCCTTGATGGGAGCCATCCAGGGCCTCTGGGAGCCTGGCCTTTGTCTAGGTTCTGCAGGTCAGCTCTGGAGCTCCCAGCCTCTCTGAGGGTGAGGTCTCGTCCACCCCTGGACATGGGAGTCCAGCTCTACCTTCTAAATGGCTTTCAGTCTCATTCAGCAACTAAAGCCACATGAAATATGTGTTTCAAATATTGTCCAAATCCTCTCTGCTTAGCGACTGAGGCACAGTCTCTGTACCTGCTCACACACCCTCCACTCAACTGCTCACACTTAAAACACACGTCCTCACACTTTCTGTGTCTTAGTCACTTTCTCATCACTGAGACACAATAGCTGACAGGTACAACTTAAAGAAGGAGAGGTCTGTTTTGACTCACTGTTTTTAGAGAATTTAGTCCATAAGTTGGTTAGGTCCAAGTCAGGAAAGGAATGGTGGAAGGGTCTGGAGGAGGAAAGCTGGAAACAGAGAGAGAAGTGAGGGGTTGGGGAGAGAGAGCTGCCCTTCCAGGTCATGTCCCAGAGACCCGCCTCTTTCAACCAGACCCCCACCTCGACACAGCACGCAGGCTGTACTGCCCCATAATCCAGTCACCTTCCAAAAGCCCCACCTAGAAGCATGTGAGGCTTTTAGGGAACGTCTAGATATGAGTGGCAACATTCTGCCTCTGGCTCCCAAAAGATTCGTGTGTATCTCTTCATACAAAATATATTTAGTCCATATCTAAGAGTTGTCAAAGTCCTGATAGTTTCAGCAAACCCAAAGCCTTCTCTGAAACACTAAGCAAACTTTTGCTGTGAGTCGTTGTAAATTTTTTTTAAAGTTACATACTTCCAACATGTAATGGCACAGAATAAACATTCCCACTTCAAAAGAGAAGAACAGGAGGATAGAAAGCAGAAGAACAGGAGGATGGGACCGGTACAAGACTGGAAGCCAGCAGGGCAAACATTAAATCCTATAGCTTCATGTTCAGTACCTCTGGGCAAGTCATGGTGAGTGATGAACTCCAAATGGCTTGGGCAGCCTCTGTGGTATTCTCAGTGGTTGCAGCTCCCATGACTTCTCTGTTGTATGGCTTTGTGCTTGTTCCTTGTGGCTTTCGTCAGATGTTCTGCATTCCCGGCTTTTCCAACTTCCGGAGGTCTCCACTGCACCTTTGGCCCACTGTCACAGCTTGACACACTGCCCTCGGGCAAGCTGTCTAACTCTCTAGGATGTCTTCTGAAATTTGGGTGGAAGCATCCTTCACTCCATAACTTTTTCATTCTGCATGTCTGTAAAACCAGCACCACTTAGATGATGTCATCTACCACCAGCTTGAGCAGCAGCAGGACCCCTTGGAATTTTGGCTGTAGCAGCCCCAAGACCTGGATGCTGAGCACTTTGAACCAAATTCTGAGGGACAAATTCCTTAGGCTGCTGTCCTGGAGCACAGTGCCTTGTCTTCTTAAGTGAAAGCTTTATAGCTTTGCACTTTTGAGCCTGAGAGAAGGGTAGGGTTTTTCCGATTCCTCACGTATCCTCAAGCCATTTTTCTTTGTCCTGATGTGAAGTAACATGGCTTCTTTTTTTTTCTTTGTCTTTTTTCCTTTTTATCAGTACCAGGGATCGAACTCACGACCGCCTGCTTGCAAGGCAGGTGCTTATGCCGCTGAGCTAAATCCCCAGCCCCTATGGCTTCTTTTTAATACTAATCTTTTCAGCAACCGAGTGCTGCTCTACTCCAACTTTTTAGGCCCTGACTTTACAGCAGCCTTTTTCTTTCCTTTTCTTTTTTTAGCAGCTTTTTTCTGATTAAACTTAAAACTATTAAAATTTCTCAGCTGTGGCATTTGCTCTTGATTCTCAATGGAGTGCTGGCTAAAAGCCCCTAGAAGTAGCCATGTCACAGTCTGAATGTTGGGCTGCCTTGCAGTTTCCTCCACCAGATAGATTAGTCTGCCACCTTCCCTCTCAGTCTCCTGCAGAGTTTCAGGATGTTAGGAAAATGTAGACAGATTTTCTGTCAGGGTATAACACGTGGTCTGGAGTCCTCCTGTTAATGGAGTCTTTGTTCCCAACTGAAACCTCCTGAGCCCGGTCTCTACTTTCTCCATTTCTATCAGCATTCTGGTCTTCTGAGATCTGATCAGAATCTCCCATCAGGCTCAGCTCACAGCAGTCTAGGACTTCTAGTTGGCATCTCCAGATCTTTCTGTGCGTCTGTGAACCACTTCCAAAGGCTTCTGAACCACGTGGTTGGGTAACATCACAGCGACAGCCCCACACCTCTGGTATCAAAATTCTGTCTTAATCGTTTTCTTATTGCTGAGACACTGTACCCATTACCCATAACTAAGGAGCAGCAGTTTATGTTGGCTCAGGTTTCAGTCCATAAACAGAAAAGAAGAAACAGCATAGCAGAGGCAAAGAGCAGAGGAAAAGCTGCTTACTTCATGGTGATAGGGAAGCAGAGAGGATGAAGGGAGGAGTCAGGAAGGGAGACACACCCTTCCGGTCCTGTCCCCACTGACCTGCTGCTTCCAGCTAGACAGAATCCACATCCTAACAGTAAGTCAGCTTAATCCAGTCACTTAAAAACCCTGCCTAGGAGCACATGCAGCTCTTGGGGACCGTCCAGATACAAATCATAACCCTTCTCACCCCCTCACTCATGCCCCTCACACGTGCACGTACTGTCCTTCATGTACACTAACAAATATTCTCACACCCTAACACACATGCTTTCTTTCACCTTCACGCATTCCCACACTCACCCTCTTACATTTTTACAAGTAGCACACACTAATACACTCATACACACAGTTTTTCACACAAATCAGCATGTCACACGCTGTCACCCTCGAGTCTCCTAGTCCACACACAGCTGTTCCCACTTAATGGCCTCTGTATAACTCCTGGGAGCATTTCTGCTCTTGTGATCTGTGTTCAGATGCATGTCAAGGGGATTCATGTGTTTGTCCCACAAGCACTGATCAAGTACCTATGCCGGCAGACAGGCACCTCCCTAGTGTAGCATTTATAGTCCACAGAGGATGACAGGCAACCGCCAAGGAAATCAGTAGCATAAGGGCCCAATGAGAATAAGGCAGGCAGAGGGGAGGACAGCAGAGGCCAGAGGGGTTCTGAGGAGGGAAGGGACAGAGGGCCCTGAGAAGATGGGGGGCAACACAAAGGCCCAGATTGGGGAAGATGGTGAGGGCAGCTCCCTGGAGGTCAGAGTGGGCTCTACAGGTCACTAGGGGAGTGTCGGGGTTTGTTTTCAGTGGTGAGAAACCAGTGGAGGTCTTGGAGCTGGGAGGTGAGGGGCACAGTCTGATGTCCCTTGGAGGTGGGTGAGCAGGTAGGAGACTGGTAGGGGCACCCATGAAGGGAGGTGGCAGCTGGGATTCTGGTGGAAGGCCATAGCATTGTTCCAGAAAGAGCCAAGGGTGGCCCTGGAAGTCCCTATTACTGGGATTTTCAGAGGCCTGAACCACAAGTGTGCTGTTCTTGTCATTATATGGGTCACTGTATCAGCAGGGGGACATGATTAAGGAGTTGATCTGTTGCAGGTTTCATGCTGAAGACTAAGGGGGAGGGAGCTGGGAAGGAGACAGTGGTGGGCACTGTTTCCTGGTTCACAACTGTGGAGTGCCCTACCTCAGGTCAACTCACTCTGTCCAAAGTTCAGACCCTCCTGAACCTGAGACAAAAGAGCAGAGGCAGAGGGTTGTAAGGGGCTGTGTGTGTGTGTGGTTTTCATAACTGTAAACATTATTGGTATAAATACACAAGTTGCGCAAAGCTAGTGTCACTTGTTTCTCTGTTCTTAATTGTTTCCACCCCTCTCTTTTTCAGCATTGTCATCCTTTATTTAAGGTTTGGAGCACAAGTATTGCAGGACAACTTTGTAGCGGAACTATCAACTCATTACCAGAATTATATCCTTTTCATTGGAGACCAAGGAATGTGTGTGTAGTGGCTCATGTGTGGATCTGGACCCTCCAGAGGAGACCCTTCACTCTTGTGGCCTGCCTCAGGAGGCCTGGGAACTTGTGGGCCCTGTAGGTGCTAACAGGCGTTTCTCAGTCTGGGTAAGGTCAGCAAGGTCACCCTTTCTTTGTAGGCAGGAAGTCAGACATGCAGGGCTAGGCTAGTGACCTGAGATTGGTCACCACGTGGCCCAGCCTGGATCCAAACCCAGGTGTCAGTACTCTGGAGCCTGCTCATCTGCGCTGCTCTCCTTCCGGTGTCCAGGCCTGTTTGACTGAATGTCATGGGTCTGGACCTGAGTCAGCCAGGAGTGGCCCAGGGGCTAGTTTGTGTGTCAGCATCTGTTTCACCATTGTCCAGGAGATCCCCACATAACCCCGAGGGTGTCTGGACAGCTTAGCGGGTGGGCCTGTGTGTTCAAGAAGGGGCCCCATAGCAGGTACTCCTTACCCGAGGCTGGTCCACCGCTGTTCCTCTTGATTCCTTCGCTTCATTCAGATGGATGTGCTCTGTGTCTTGTTTGACCCCCTTTATGGGGGTCAGTGAGGAAATCAGTTCTTTAAGTCCCAGGCTCTTGCTCTGGGACTGCCTATATCCATAGAATTAATGCATGCTTTTTTCAATTTTCTGTGACTTGATTTCACACTAAGCTGTCATCAGATTCTCAGAGGGTTCTGTAACCTGGAAAGGGTTCTGCGCAATTGTTCTGAGACTTTGTTTCAATTCTGTATGATTATTTGAAGAGACCTGGATTCACTTCCTGACCTGCTGTATATGTGACTAGGTTCTCCTGTGTCCTGCAGTGAGAGGACTCCCACTGAATGTTGTCTCAGTCAAGTTCCCACCGGTGGAAGAAGTCACAGTTCACCTGTTAGTGCCTGTGATCTTGAAGGGTTATTGAGGCTGCTGGCCATGGGCTTGCTCTAGGGAGTTATGATGTTTGAGTTAGCCCAGTTGTTTGTGATTAGCACCAAAAAAGCTATGGATGGTTGGGAGGAGGATGAGACTGAGCAGAGACCCCAGCTGTACCTCCAAGCCCACTGTTCCCTCCCTTGACAGCACCACCAGCGGAATTCTTATCCTTTTATGGCTTGTTGAACTTCTATCTGTACACTTTGGCCTTTGTATATTCTCCGTCGAAGAATGCTCTGTATGGTAAGCCACCTCAGATCTGAATTGCTGCCAGGTGGCAGAAACAAAAGTCTCCAGTGTTTCGGGAGTCACTAATGAGTTTTCCGTGGATGCTGGGCACTGTAATTCATGGTGTCTTCTGTTTGACAAGAGAGAGACAAGGCAGTTAAGCCATGAGCCTGGAGTTTGGGTAAACACAACATGCATTGAGTGTGTTGTGTATTGTAGCAATTGATTGAATAAGTTAATTTTGTTAGTGGCTCCTGACACAAGCAGATGCCCATCGACCATAAGAAATAAAATCTGTGGAATAGTAGTGTCCTGACCACTCAAAGAAGAGCCAAAAGCTAAAACACATCCCCTACCCAAAACAAAATAAGGCAGCCCTCACGCTGGGATGAAGGGTGGGAATGGCCGGGATGGATGCAGTATGCTGGTTCCGTGATGCTTTAGCTTTCCAGCTGAATTTATTCTGAGCTTCACAGTGGCCCAGTGTCAAAGGAATAACCACTATTTTATAGCTGGAGAAACTTAGCAGAGGCTGCTGCAGGTTGGGACAAGTTGGGAGCAGGCAGGACATAGTGTTGTGTCCTGTGGCCTATCCCCACCCCTGCTGCACGTGTGGACCTGCGAGACAGTGTGCATGAGGCAGTTCCCGTGCATGGGCACCTGTGGTCATCAGCTTTCTTGCAGGCCACCTGTTAGTCTGTATAGTGGCTGTCTAATGGCTCAGAAATAGACCCCCGAGGTGACTTGTTTGGGTTCACACAACTATACCCATAAGATCTGCAGTTGGCAGCGAGCTCTTTAATACTTCTTACCAGTCTAATGACATGACTTGCTTGGGATAAAAAGGCTCCTGTTGATTTTCAGAGTCCCAGTTGAAAGATAATCCTGCATTTTCCATGCTCAATGACTCCGATGACGATGTGATTTATGGGTAAGTCACTGTCTCTGTGAGGGCCATTTCATGTGGTGCATTCCACCTGGCTTTGCATGTGTACTGAGTGCATATTATTGTTCTAAGCCTGTTTTCCAGGTCTTAGAACGGTACCTGGTGTGTCATCTCATCCATGGCTGTTTTCATGAGGGTCAGGCTTAGTTTTAGTGGCATCCTTTACAGAATGCCTGCAGCGCATGGTGACCACGGAGAGAGCAGTTCTCTGCTCGGATGGGCCCTCAGCATTGAGTGGAAGGAGTGGGCAAGATCAGGTGGCCAACAGAACCCTGAAAGGAAGCTTTGAAATGAGTTTCTTCAGAATGGTGTGGGAGTCAGTCGAGACCTGTTAGAGTGGAATGGTGTCACAATTCTCTTCTTCAACAGGAGTGACTATGAAGAAATGCCACTGCAGAATGGCCAAGCTATTCGGGCCAAGTACAAGGAGGAGTCGGACAGCGACTGAGCGCCAGGCTGTGGGCAGGACTCGGGGCCAAGTGCCATCTATTGGGGACTGTGCCCTGGCTTTCCTCTCTACCTGTCATCCAGACTTTTGTCACAGGCAAAAGTTTCCTGCTCCTTATTTGTTTACATATTTCTAAAAGAAAAACCAAACCTGAAGGCAAACTTAAATGTTGGGCCATTTGTTGTGAAGATGGCTCTGTCTGGGAAGAGAGGTTGATAAAAACTTAAAAAGCCAAATCCTTTTACAAAGATTTCCAGTGAGAGAGTATGTTTTCAGTGGCATGAAAGCATTTTTAGTAGAAAGAGTTATGTATTTTCTTTTTTTAAATAATTCACTAATTCCCAGCTCATGAACGGCAGTGGTCCACCATGGCAGTGTTACCCTTCTTTCTTCCTGCCTTCCCTTCCTTCCCCAGGGTACTATTTTGTTTTGTATTTTATTTTTAACACTTTATGTTCAGAGAGAAGCCTGTTTTGGTTGCTGCCTCCAGTGGGCAGTCCTTAGTGGTCAGAGTCCTGGATGCCCAGGCGCTGGAATGATGACACTGACTGCATTTGATGAGCCATGTAAAGTGTGTCCGGAGGATGGCAGTGGCCAGCCTCAGCCTTGCACCACCTGAGAAGCAGAAGTAATAGTGCCATGGTGACCGAGGCGGGTTAGCGAAACTGAACAGGGCAAGCCTGAGGTAGTGCACAAGTTACCAGCTCTGTGGGCAAGGTCTTGTGCCATGGTGCTTCCCAAGGCGCTCTGTACAAGTGCGTGCCCTGCACAGACAGGAGCGCATTTCCTATGGCTGAAGAGGGCGGTAGTGGGTAGGTAGATGTGGATTCCCATTTCAGTAAATAGTAATTTCTCCAACTCTGTGGAAGACAAAACCCCATACAGCTTTTTTTTTCTTAAATAAAGACTACATGAATGATTAATGTTACAGATTCTTCATTGCCAAAAAGATTTTCAGTTTTAGAGGAAAGCAGTGCAGAACATTTTTAAGTGGCTGTGTGTAGAGGTAACTTGTTTGGAAGTCATTTCCTGTCCTAGGCGAGTACTGCAGGGATCAGGTGAGTAGATGTGTCCCTCTGCAGCAAAGAGACTGCTCTGACACTGGCAAAACTCTGGCCTCAGAGAAGGGCCTGAGAGGCTGCTCCCTTTTGTCACACTTTGCTGCACTCCTCCCTGGCCACCATGATAATGTCTGTGTTACCACAGTGTAACTGTGGGCATGCCACCTGCTACCATGTGGGCGAACGCAGAGGCCCAGGGCCTTGAGCTCTTCAGGGACCAACTGTGTCCCTCCATCTATGCACCAACTCCGATTTCCACCCCAAGCTGCAGGCTAGTCCACTGCAGGTGGTGCCAAGACCCTAAAAATGCTTGGAAGAGACCATCGTTATGACTTCCTGTCTTTTTAATGATGATATACTTTAATATTGATTCCATTTATATTTGTTTCAAAAACCTTGTAAATACAAATGTCTGAATGAGAACTGTATAATTGCAAGGGTAATTCAAGTTTACATGATTTTTACATTCGCAATGCTGTGATGACTTTTTGATTCTATGTACTTAAAGGTACTGAAAAATATGTTTCTGTTACCGAATTTTTACAACTTCTAATAAGACTACTTCTCTCATAAATAACTTTATGTATACTGAGGAAGACTGACCTGTGCTGATTAACATATTCTGTTATGTGGTGTAGTTGAGATGCTTTAATCATTATAAAAGAACTGTCACTGATTTGAAATGCTGTTGTTTTATCATCAAATGTAAAGATATTTGAGGCATTTAGCCAGATTGCAGAACTTTTTAAAATGTCGTTTTATAGTGTAATTAAAAACTTAAGACTAGTGTCCTCGTACTTTGATTTTTAATAACATCAGTGATCTAAAAGGTGAGAGTATTTTTGTTGGAACAAGAAAAACTTACAAAGCATGTAAAGATTATTATTAAACCATTTGTTTCCAATTTTTCATCTATGATGCATCGTGTAATTATATACTCTATGTAAAAAACTGCTTACAGAGCATTTAGCATGTAGAATATATCCCATAGACATAGGTTAAAAACACTAAAATCTGCCAGAAACTTGATAGTAACAAGAAAATTGTCGTTTGAAGGTGGTATAGTTTTGCAAATTTAAATTAAAAGGCCCAACTTGAGCTCTTTCATGGTAATGGCTTGAATAACATTGTCTTTGGGATTCTTTTATATTAGCTCAATCTAGGGGAACATGGACGACGAACAGAGCAATTTCATGGTTTCCCTAGGGAGCGCTTCATTATCCACGTGGATAATAGATCTGCTTGATTTATTATTAAATCATTACAGCATGAGGTCGTGGAGTTTCCTCTCAATCCCCATTTGAAAGAGTATAAAAGGGGATATATACAATCTGTTTAAGTCTTGTAAGGCGGTCACTGTACATAACTGCAATAAGTAAGCCAATTCCACTAGATAGGCGGGTTACAAGACAAATGTCACCAGCCTTAGTATTTTATGAACTATTTATTGAAGGCACAGTTAGGATAATAAGCTATAATATGGCCAGTAACATTCCCTCAATCCTTTAAAGGAGAAACATGGACATCCATGAAAGGGATAATGAAAAGGAATTTCTCTATGAACATTCAATAAAGACTAGACTTAAGACAGTACTTTGAAGGTTTTAGAAACCAGTTGCCTTAGAAGTTAGATTGCGGGGGCAGGGTCTTTTCCCAAGGCCAAAGGAAGTTGCTATAGTCTGTGACAACATGAGCATTTTTATCTTGGTATTTTGGATCTGTTGGTAAGTATAACATACTATGAAAAAGATTGTCTTCTGTTAAAAACTGCTTTTTTACAAAGACTAAACATTTGTTTAAAAAAAAAAAAAAGACATACTTAAAGCTCAGAAGGAAAGAGTCCTGTGTACCAGATATTGTATTGTCAGTGGAGCACAGCGGCACCCAGCTGGAGTGGTTGTAAGCAATTTGACAAAATTCAATAAAGTTTATTTATGACAAACTTGTGATTTGGGAGTAGCTTCATTCAGGTAACTTCTAAACACATTTTCTTGATTTTTTAACTGCACAACTGTTATGGACACAGTGACTCTGAAAGCATTTTGTAAGCCATGAAGTACTAAAAATATTTGTGACTGCTACTGAAAAACAACATGGGGTTTAGCCAGGTCTGGTGGTGTATGCCTGTAATCCCAGCACCCTGGGAGGCTGAGGCAAGAGGACCACAGGTTCAAGCTCAGCCTGGGCAGCTTCAAAATAAATTTTTAAAATGGCTGGGGATATAGCTTTGAAGTTCAATCCTCAGTACTGAGGGACAGAGAGGGAGGGAGGAAAACAGACATGGAATTAAAGTTGTAGTGTCACAGCTTTGAACCAAGCATGTATGAGTTCATCTCTTCAGCTTCTTGAATGGTGAGGGCATAAGAATGGTGTCTGTCATGCCCAGCAGAGAAATCTCATCAGAACCCAGCAGTGCCCACAGGGTCCTGGGTGAAATCAGAAAATCCTCATACCTAAGCAGAGATACAACTTTTTTGTCACCTCACTGAGCCATCTTGTGTTTGTATTACATCCCTAAAAACAATCCTAGGATTTTCCTTCTTGTTTGTCTTGCTGCTGCTGCTGCTGCTTGGTCCATGAAACAGTTGTCTACACCTGAGTTGCACATATAACCTGCCCACAAGGTTCACAACAGTCTTCCCAGCTCTGATCCTCGGTGACTGCAGCTTCACCAGTGGACTCAGGCTTCACTGTGACCATGAGGAAGCAGCAGGTGACTTTGCAGCATGGCTGGCCACGAACCTGGCCCCATTCCTTCCCATCACTGCTGACCCTAGAGTGGCCAGTGTTGATCTGCACTTTTATGGCAACAGGCAGCAAAAAGCTAAGTGTGACTTTTTTTTCCTTTGGTTTTATAAATTCGGAAACCACTATGAAGAAAAACACAAACTTTAAATTTGAATAATTTATTCTAACAAAAGTATAAAATACAGAAAATGAAATATTTCTGAGATTAGAGTTCCCCGCCTGCAGAATTCAGTTTTTAGCACCTTTGAAAAGAAAGAGTTAAGACAGCTGGCCATACAGGCTCCAGAACTACCCACAGAGACTTACAGTGTGCGGTTCCTATACAACACAGTCATTTGGTTTATTTCTCTACATTTTGAGAGTGCCACAAAACATCTAGAGAGGAAAAAGGTGTCACTGAATTCATGGTTGGTAGTTAGAAGATGGAACAGAAATGCTGAAACAAGAGGGTGACAGGCTTGGCGAGGAGGTCAAATGGACAGTCCGAAGGTGCTGACGATGCAGTACATGGTCTTGTTCTCCCATCGCACGGTGCAGCTCCCTGGAGAGACAGATTGACACCGAAGATGAGAAAACACGCAGACAGATGTTCTGATTCCTCACACCAAGACTAATACTCAAGAAACCACTTCTTTATGGTATACAAATAAAAAAGGCTGGCAAGTCTTCATAAAATATTGGGTAATGCTTATAGAGATACATGTGAAGACCTGAGACATCAAAGCACCTGTTTCATAAAACAATGCTTTTAATTACATGTATCTAAACGTAGCCTGAGGAAGCACTTGAAAAGCTTTAAGAAATATGCAACATGATAAGACTTGATAGATGAAAATTATACACACCGTCTGTATTACTGTCCCAGAAGCAGGAACTTGCTGTGTGTAATCCAGCTCCATTCTTCTGCATAATTACACAGGTCACTTAAACAGGAACATCAGAAAAATGTTAGCAACAAACATTTTGCTTTGCCTGTTTTTAACATAGGTATATCAATCCCACGGTTGACATTTACCATAGGGGTACTGCTGGAAAATAAAGCAGGTGAAACTCTTAAAAGACAGGTGTAGGCAAGGGCGTTGAGAATAGAACCTCAGTGGCATGTTTAATAATACCGAGACTCAACATGGGATATCAAATTAAAAAGCTGCTGTATCTCAACAGAAACAACCAACAGAGTGAAGAGACAACCTATAGAATAGAAAGAAATTTCTCCAGCTATACCTCCAACAAAGGACTAACATGAAGAATATATATATATATATATATATTCAAAAAATTTAGGCCCCCAAAATAAGACTGAATCAAAAAAAAAAGGGCAACCAAATGAAAGACACTTCTCAGAAGTAGGGACGGCCTGAAAAAATGTTCAACTTTGCAGGCCATAACAGAAATGCAAATTCAAACAACACTAAGAGACTGCCTTATTCCAGAGTACCTACCATCAAGGAATCAAATAACATACGGTGGTGAGGCTGCAGGGGAGAAGGAACCTTTCTGCATTGTTGGTGGGAATGTAAACTAGGATGCCACTATGGAGATAGGTATGGAGATTCCTCAAAAAACTAAAATGAAGCTGGACATGGTAGCCTGTAATGCCAGCACTTGGGAGGCTGAGGCAGGAGGACTACTGTGAGTTTGAGGCCAGCCTAGGCTACATAGTGACTTAGGCCTACCTGCATTACAAGGCAAGACTGTACCTCAAAAATCAAAAAAAAAGCCTGGGATATAGTTCAGTGGTGCAGTGCCTGCTTAAGTGCAAGATCCTGAGTTCGATTTCTGGTACCAAAAAAAAAAAACATTAAAATAAAAACTAGAAGTTCCATTTGACCTAGGTATTGCTCTTCTAAGAATCTTCCCAAAAGAGTTAAACACATCATATTACAGTGGTTATATACATATCCATATTTATAGCAGCACAATTTATAATAGCTAAATCTTGAAAGTTGCCCCATACATCAACAGATGAATGGATAAAGAAAATGTGGTTATACACAACGGAGTACTGTCCTCCTATAAAGAAGGGAAAAAATGAGGCATCTGTAAGTAAAACCCATCTCAAGACCACATGTTAAGTGAAATTACACATGCAACTTTAAATATCACACAGTTTCTCATACATGAGAAACCCAAAATGTGCACAACAAAAACAGAAGGTTTTTAGGGAGAATAGTATTTAGGGAGATCTTTTTCAAATGGGAAAGGAACAAATGATGGAAAAGGAAAAGGGATTAAAATATAGAAACAACTTTTTCACATGGGAAGGGGAGTAAGAGTTGGAGGCAGAAGGGAAAGATGGGAAGAGAAGGGGACAAAAAAGAATCTATACATGTCATGTATTCCTCCACAATAAATGTAATCATTCTGTACTGCACACATGCACTAGTAGAAACACCCCCTGTGGTAGGGGTAGACTGCTTGGTCTCTCTCTACTAAATCACCTACTTCCCCTTTACCACTTCCTTGTTCTAAAAGGAAATTATTTCGTCCTTCAGTTATGCCAGCAGTCAAATAGGCCAAGTACGTGGCATTACATGCCATACAAGTAACCTATTCCTGGGAAGAACTTTTCAGAGGACAGGCACTAAATTGCCAAGTTGGCTCTCTTTCTGGTACTTCTGATCACACCCCTGATCAGTGTTTTTAGAAACCAGGGCTAAAGACACAAGAAACAAAAATGCATTACCAATGTACTTAAATGGTTTTCCCAGCTTGGTGAGTTGGCTTAGAGTCTGCTCTACTACATTTGTGGTCCACTGATTGACTTTGCTGTGCTGGTAAGCATTACCGCCAATGGCACTTTCTATGGCCTGGAAAACAGGAGCACAGGGGTCAAGGCAGAGAACAAACCAAACATCTGTCAGTCAGAAGCTGCAACGGCCGGCTGCGAGTTGCTGAAATAAAACTCACATAAGATGCACGTCTGTTCTTATTCCTCAGGAATCTTCTGCAAATATAGCCTTTGGTTAACATGTAATACCGTGTTTAAACAAGGAGTACGTTGGCTGAAAGATTAATTGTTACACAGATTTTGTCAAATGTATTTAACATTTTGATCCAGTTGAATTTAATGTTCACTGCTGCTATTAATATCTGGACATAAGCAAGTTTCTCTTAAAAGTATACGGGATCGGGGCTGGGGATTTAGCTCAGCGGCGTAAAGCGCCTGCCTTGTAAGCAGGCAGTCCTGAGTTCGGTTCCTGGTACTGATATAAAGGAAAAAGACAAAAAAAAAAAGTATACGGGATGTTTTTATCCAATACTAATATATATTAACACTGTATGTTAGCTGATTTTTTATTATTTATACAATTGACACTGTATAAATATACCCAAATAGTCATGTACTCAAGAGCTTTTTCTGGGAATATGGCTACCTAAGTACAGTTTTCACAACACTAAAGAACAGCCCTTTACATTCCGAAGCTTAGTTTGATGATTTTTTTTACTTCTGTGCCGGGTTCCCCTATGGCTGTTAAAGCCTGTGGCTCACTGTCCCTGTTCCTGCTCTGATTTCCACTGAGACTCCCCTCCTAGGACTCTCTGGGATCTTCCTGTCAGTTTCTCTTTTCACACTGATGCCAGTGGTCTCAATCCAAGCAGCTTGTTTCTCTACTCCATTCTAACCTGCTGTCCTGGATACCAGAAAACTGACCTTTTACAAGATATTTGACCTAAAATAAAAATAAAAACATTTTAAGGAACAAACCCTACAGAGAGCCACCCCAATTTCTACCTCCTAACTTTGCTACCTACCCTGAGATTTTATGTAGTGACAATGACATAGCTCCCTGTTCCTCTTCATCCTCTGCTATATCTGTTCCCTCCTGGCTGAATTATGCAAGTGGCCAGGGGCCCAGAGGTCCTGGTTTAGGGGACAAAGGTATTACTAGAGCTGGCCTTGTCAAAGAAGGGAGGTGGGGAGCCTTGCTCAAGCCAAATCTCTACCTCAGTCCTCTCTACGCACTTTTGAGTTTCACTTTTGCAGGGAGGAAAGAAAAGCTTCCTCCAGTTTTGGATCTTCCCAGATTAGGACTATCCAATACTTAAAATAGCTTGAGTACAGAATTAACCTGTGATGGGGGTGAGGCTGGCAGGGAGCTGCTCAACTGTGACATGTGTTAAAGTAACACTGTTGTGGCACCTCCTGTTTCCTCCTAGTTTGACAGTGTGTACGCAGGTTTTGATTGTGCT